TTTGGCCTGACGTTCTTCAGCAGATAAAACTTTTTTTTGTTTTTTATATTTTTGAGGAGTTTGTGTTGTCCTTGAGGCAGGTCGTTTTGGGGTGTTATCAGACTCCATGTCGTTAGCTGCCGTACCGTCGTATAGAATGTATATAAAAAGGAGAGAGGCGCAGAAAATCGGACCTGAAGACTTCACAAATAGGAATACTGGCCTTCAGAGGTAATCACAAAACCCGAAAAGGATCATTGTAATGTGTGATTACAACCCTTTACAGGCAGTGCGCAGTGATAATATAAAAAATTAAAAAACAACAGATTACACAGGCAATAAAAAAGGATTCATTTCAGAAGAAAAGTTACATATAGCACCTTTAAATGTTATGAAGCAACGAGAATACTTTATTCAACAATTTCTTCTCTTCCCTGTCAGTCTCTGATGCTGTTCATGTAGTAAATTCAGTGCAGCATTTCTGGTTTCTATGCCAGAACGTCGGGTCGGTATTGGGCGTCTCCTGCATCATGTGCCTATGAGAACAGCATCGGAGACTGGCACAAAAGAGTAGAAATTGTTGAATAGTCGTTATTTATTTATTTATTTTTTGTGTACAAAGTATTATGGGTTGGGAATGACATGAGAGTGAGTAATTAATGACAGAAATGTCATTTTTGGGTGAACTAACCCTTTTAATGAGACGCTTTTCATTCAGAAGAGTAGAAATTGTTGAATAGTCGTTAATTTTTTTATTTATTTATTTATTTTGTGTACAAAGTATTATGGGTTTGGAACGACATGAGAGTGAGTAATTAATGACAGAAATGTCATTTTTGGGTGAAATAACCCTTTAATGACACACGCTTTTCATTCAGATGAGTAGAAATTGTTGAATAGTCGTTATTTATTATTATTTTTTTTGTGTACAAAGTAGGTTATGGGTTTGGAACGACATGAGAGTGAGTAATTAATGACAGAAATTTCATTTTTGGGTGAACTAACCTTTTAATGACACACGCTTTTCATTCGCCAGACACTTTGTGTTCGCTCAAGAAACTTTGCCATCACTCGCAAGACCTTTTTGTTCCTTGTGAGCAAACGCAAAGATTCTCGGGGAACTGACCGAATGCAAAAGCATTGAAATACATTTTTTTCCATCGCTATGTCCCTTTAGGAGCTCCGTACATAACATACTTTATTGAACCTTGTTTTCAATCATATTTCCATGATATACATTTCATATTTTCTAAGTTTGGGTATGGCTGCTTGGCAAGGTCCAGTAAGCTCCTGCTGGTAGATTCTCCTGCCAAAAAGCATCTCTCTCTATTGACGTTGAAAAATTGCAGTGTATTATGTAAACATTTAATTATATTATAGATATTTAGTCAGTGCCCATTTTCTTTGCAATGATCTTAAAGCATGAAATGGGCTTATGTTTATCCCTGTCTGCTGCCGTTGGCGTCACGGCTTGTGTACAGACGGGACGGTCTTTAGTAAAAGGTTTGATACTGTGGCACCAGTTATCAGCATAGCCATTACGTCATTTTGCTGCGGCTTTACAGCTCAGGTGACTGGCTCAAAAACTTGAATCGCAATTGTAACTTAAGACCCCCTTGATTATTTCATTCCTGCAATGTGATCCACTTTGTAGTTTAACCAAACACAGACAGACAAAGCGCTTAGACAACCAGCAAGAAGCCAAACACACACAAAGCAAACCACACAGCTTTTTTTTTTTTTTAAATTTATTTCCTGCTCGTTGAGCTTAACTGCAGGGTGGATTCGTTAGGAACTCTCAGACGCTGATGAAATTTGTCCATCCCAGTTGAGTGCACTGTCTGGCCAACTAATCACTCTAATTAGCTTAATTACACAATTAGCTGCTCAGGTATAACAAGTTGCAGCATGCATTACCCCTCAAGAATCCAGACAAATGAAGGTCAAAAGAGTAAAGATCTATCTGTTTCAGTGCTAATAAACCACAAGCTGCGTAACATTTGGACATTCGCATCTATCACGGTAACACTGATCTGAATAAATATCTCTTCCAAATAACAGGGATTAATTGTTCAAAGGGAAGCTATATTGAACTGGCAGCTATGTGGTCAGAAAGAAACCATAAAATGCTAAACAAATTATGCAGCGGTAATTATTTTCTGTGACACCACTGTTCAACCGCACCCATTAATGGCTTTGAGAGCTTTGTACACAGATGATATACACTTATGAAATATTTGTTTACAGAGAGATAAAGGTAGATTCAGAAGATTAGAACATCAAAGTGCATCTCTCTCTCTCTTTACTGTACAAAGCAGAGTTTATACTGCAACAAGCCATCAGCTTATTAGTCCTGACATTGCACTAATGAAGAGAAAAATTCTGCCTCTATACCATCCCCAGACTTCTTTTTTTCTGCCTCTCTCTCTCTCTCGACCAGAAGCTGACCAATTACATGAATCTATTACAGCAAAATGAAAACATCCAAATGTGCTTGTGTCTGGTCTTGCTTTTCCTACTTTCAAATGAAATTAGACACAAATTACATTTCAGAAACATTGCTTCCGGAAACCAAAAAAGACACCGGCAGATAGCGTCTGCTTTCCCACAGAAAACTACTCAACTGTGCCCTCTCATAATGATCACATTTAAATTAAACATATGCATCGGTTATTATAAACTTTTCATTTCTATTCACTTTAAAAGAGAATTTTAACTATTTGAGAGTCGAGAGCCTATTTCAGGTGCATATTAAATGGCACAAAGCAGCTGCAGAGGATCCAAAGGCCTTTGAACTGACAAAAATAACTGGGAAAAACAAGCGACTTTAATCGCCTCTGCACCGTGAGCAGCATTCGCTCGCAATGGTTTTATCTATAAAAGCAGCAGCAACGTCCTGCAAGATAAATTGACATTAATGCTAATGTCAATAATGATGGGAGATGAGCGCTATGCCATGTGAAGTTGGAGTATGCCCCTGTGAATTCTGGGTAATTTGTTGCTCGGTCCCAGCGCAGTAATATGCACGTGAAAAAAAGGAGATCTGACATGATTTGCTTTGTGGATAAAAAGATGCTCTCTATCTCTCTGTCTTCCCCCTGTTCTTGCATTTTTCTTTTCTTTTTTTTTCGAATGCGCTGGTGTAGCCTGCGGCGCGCTGGGCTAATGATGAAAGAGAGAGCGTTGCTGATTCTCTCATATATGAGAGTGTGTGCGAGCCTCAAATCCAGCTAACACTTTCTTCGCTCGATCGCGCACACGTGCGGTGTTAATCTGAGCATTGATGCTATAGTGAGAGGATAAGTGAGGACTCGGATTCTGCTGCGCCGTGGCAGAACTCTTCATACTCGTGCGGCTTTTGAGTGACATAAACACGGCTCAGTGTTGATCGATGTGCAGACATCAGCACACCCCAGAGATGGATCATCTACAGCCGCTGAAAACACTCCCAAGACGAGGCTGAAAGCGCTCCGCCATCACAGCGATAACACTAGATATAGTGAAGTTCGGCTATCTCACTCACACAGCATATGCATAAAACACAAGATATCCAGCAATCTCTTTCTCGCCCCAGCGGGCACACATACACACGCGGCTCGAGCGAGGACGGGGAGAGCGAGAGCTGATTTCCAACAGCAGAGGTTATTATTTCAAGAATGTTCTCTTTTTTTAGTTTGATTTCCTTACGCAACACAGAAGATATTTTAAAGAATGGTGGTAACAGTTTTAGTTACAATTGACTTCCATTGTGCTCAACACTGATACATTTTTCTAAATATATCATCTTTTATCTTCCACAAAAGAAACAGTCATAGCCTACACGTTGGGAACGGCATGATAAATTACATTTTTGTGTGAAATATCCCTTTAAATTTAACTTGACACTAAAATGATACTAGTCACATTTAGCATACCGTTCAGCTAATTTTCATGAACGGAATTTTGTCATTTCAATAGGATAGGAATCAATCTGAAATCGCCCCCTATAACCTCAAATAGTGGGGACAGACGTTTGTAGCGGTGCCCGGAATCATAGTTATTGAGTGCACTCATTCAATCCCACAATGCACCGCAATAACGAGTGTACCAGCAGTGTAGGCCTACAACCGTTATATGCTCAACGGCTGTCTGAATCCACTCACTCGTTTTCATTCACATCCTCAAGTGGACTATATTAGTGGAGTAATGTAGGGAATAGTGAATGAGGGGTGATTTCAAACACAGCCTGTGAGAGAGTTTATTTGCTCATAAAAGATCCCAGTGACTCATTTCCATTTCCACTAATTTTTCATTTTCATATTTATTTTAAGCCAATTTATTTTATTTTGGGGTGTTTCGGTGCAACCACAGAAATGGAAAATTCTCATCAGCATTTGTCCAAATTTCAATCTTAACCGTTCTATTTCATCAGAAACGATCTTAAAAAAGGGCTTAAAGTGTAAAATACCGAACTTATTGTTTTTCCAACACTTGCATAGTAACATGATGTAATAATAATTACAAAGAAAGATAATGAAAATATATTAATAATCTAACTAGCCATTTACCTGTAACTATCTAGACAAATTTCTGTTTTAAAAAACTGAAGACAGAAACACAAATACGAATGCAGACTTGCATATCATTATGTTAAAACATTGATAATGATATTGTGCAATACTGTGTGCAGTTTGTATTTGTCATTTTAACTGACAAGAGAGGAAGATCACAGCTCATCACAACTCATGATGTGTACAGAGATGGTGGCGGCTTATATAAGGTCAGGTCTGGTCTTCAAAGATCAAAGCTCAGAACACGTCGCTCAAAGGAACAGAGAGGGGGGAGGTTCAGAGAAATGCGTACCAAGAAACTGAAGAAAGTTCTTACCATGATACAAGAGAATTTACTTCATCACCCCCACAGGCATGTGTGGAAGGCAAGACACACATTCTTACCCCCACAGACAGACACATAAACATGCCTTCCCACGTTCACACACACACAAATACAGTTACAGGACAAATAAGCAAAGGCAAGGAGTATTTTAAAGAGTATTCTTTATGAAGCAATTCTTAGCACTGACCCCTTCAAACCCCTTCCCAAGACATGATGTTAAAACCAAACAAACTCTGATTGGTGGATAAATTCTGTCTGGACTGTACAGTGCAAAGGCAATACACATCCTCAACTGCTGCCCGTCACACACATTCACACTCACACTGCCTTTAGTGACAGTGCAGTTTACACAATGCCACATCAATCATTTAAAATAAAATAGTGAGAAAGTAAAAAAAAAAAAAAAGTCAATAAAAAAAGATTTGCTCAAAAATAAAATCTTAAAACAGCATAATTTCTAGCTGTTAAGACTAAAGTAATACAGTATTTGCTCCTTTTCCTTCTGCATTTTAAATGGGATATGGGATTACATGATTGTGATGTGACATGAAGGACCCTGTTCAAATATATATAGAAGCTAATTAATTGCATGACAAAGCAAAAATATAGTTAATTTCCAGCCTTGAATCTCAGACATTATTGTTGGTGTTCAGCTGCAGCTTGTGGAATAAGGGTAGTCTAAGTAAAACATGTAGTGGTCTATCACAGGGGCTGACCTGCTTTCACACAAACACACACTGATCTCTGCTCAGCTGTGATCAAGAGGGAAGAGCTGCGCTTTTATCCGTCGAGCTGACTGTCAAGTAATGCCTCACATCATGGTGCCAACAGCTACCTGGAGCAACTCTGAGTCTCGAGCTCCTGAGGGACAGAGAGTGCCAGAGAAAGTTCTAGAACACCTGCAGGATTTGTGCTATCCTTGAAGCTGCAGGGAATGTGAGTATGTATGCCTGTCCTGAGTGAGTGAATTATGCATTATAGCAGCCCGACGAGTGCGAGGAAACAGTTGGGGAAAAAAGAGGGAAAAGGAGACAGATAGAGACTTTGTATTGGTGTATATATAAATGCTGTATGCGCACATACTCTTTCTCACGTACAATCGCCACATAAATAATGAAACGCCTACAAAGCTACTGTATATGCAGTGCAAACCTGCACCTGCACGTCTCTTTATCTTCCTCGTTCACTCACTAAGTACAGAGCCTAAATTCATTGTGACACTCACTTGGCAAGTCCAGATGGAATCTGAAGGCCTTTTAAATGTTAATTGGGGAAAATCGGCAGAAAGGGTTTATATGTGATAGTACAGTGTGTAAAATGGAACTTAAACAGAGTTCTAAAAATATATTGGTAGCTGAAAGCTTAATCAATGAGCCCAAATGTTTAATACAATACCGATCAAAAGTTTGAGTCTGTAAATTTAGATTTCATTTGAATATATATATATACAGTATATTTTTTAAATCCGATGAATTTTCAGCAGCTTACTGCAGTCTTTAGTGTCACATGACCATTCAGATATCATTCTAATATGCTGATTTGGAGCTAAAGAAACGTTTCTTCTCAATATCAATGTTGATAATATGTCTATGAAAAACGTTATATATATATTTTTTTTTTTTTCAAGATTATTTGATGAACATCAAAAGAATATTATTTATTTGAAATGATCTTTTCTAACATTATAAATGCCTTAACTGCCACTTTGGATCAGTTTAATACATCCTTGCTGAAGAAAAGTATTAAAACCTGACTCCAAACTTACTCAGACATACAAATAAACAGCCACACTATCTATCCAAAGTAGCAGCTGACCAGCCCTTAACACAATTTCCCAGCCAAATATTGACCACCATGGACAATTCTACCAACAATATCCTTTGTGTCCTGTGTCTATTTCACAATCAGATCACAAGTCTAAACTGACAAGGGGAAGCCTTTAGTGAGTGTGTGTTTGGAGATGGGATGACATATCTATTGCCTTCGGTACCTCCTAATCAACATAAGTCAGTACGCCAACATTATGTTACAGTTACACATATTACCCATCATGCATCTAGTCAGCACAGTAGTAACAGTGAGTTGTGCACAGTACAGCCCAGACTCTCACTACAGTGTAATGGTCATCAGGTACAACTCAGTCATTTATCAATTACATCATAACTTTAATTGATCATTATCTTCAATAATCAATTGACAGGAGCAGGAACACAGTAGCTACTGGTCTCTGTTTTTTTTTTTCCTTGTTTTGTTTTTTTGCTAACTGAGAGAACATACAGGGATAAACAGAGAGATTAAAAATATCTAAAAAAGGAAAATGCCAGAGGCACATTGTTTAAGTTGCCTAATCAATGGTGTGGTGGGAAAAATATATTAAGAAAACTACAAAATAAGAAGAACTCAGAAGTTATTATTAGACTGATGGACTGATGGGTGGCTGAATGGATGGATGGATGGATGGATGGATGGACTACTAACTGGCTAGATGGACAGTTGGAATGGGAGAATATCAAAAGGACAGACACAGCGATGAGGGCAAAGGGCTAAAACACAAATGATATGAAAGCTAGTTAGGTAGTATAGAGTAATTGTGAAGATCTGCTATAAATAATAAAAGATGGACAGAAGGATGGATGAAAGGATATTAGATTTGTTTGTTTTTTTCTTCTTCACAGGCACTAATGTTTTCACAGTCATATAGGAGGAATCAAAATTTAAAAATGTCTCCAGAGTCTAGAATTGCTACAAAGCTAAAACATTTAAAACTATTACTACCACTTCCTCCAAGTATATCAAACTTAACTCATTATATATATATATATACCTGTCTGTGTGTATATATATATGTATATATTTATTTGTACATATATATATATATTGTATAGATAAATTATATGATGGCGATGAAAACTGAATACAATGGTCAATAAAATCTATGTCAATTCACAGTATAACAAGATACATTCTCAAAAACATAGTATATAGAGATAATATTTCTTTTTTGTTCTCAAGAAAAAGCTACATGGGAATTATAAGTCTGTTCTGTACATGCAGTCACAGAATTCTGTGTTAGCGCCTTCTGACTCAGTAAGGGTCAATGACAGATCAAGTGTGCTCATGGCACACTATATTAATTCAATCATTCTACATCCATCTTCCTGCCCCCTCCCCCTTCCATGCCGGGTGCGGTGGACTTTCCGCTGACGCACCCGTATTCCCGGCATTGGAAGAAACGCTGACCGAGGGGATTAAGTGGCTGTGTGTGATTCAGTTTACACAACACGCAATTCAATACCTGAGCTTGTTATTTCTTGACTCATGCGATGACAGGTGGGTCTTTAAAATGTGAAAAAGCCCTACATTTTATTGTAATTGATGACAAACCTTCCCCAGGGGGTCTTGTTTAAATGAACAAGATATGAAAGGGAGACAAACATCACTTATATCAAATAAAGCGCAATCAAATCGGTTGATCTGTGACGACATGTACAAGCCCTCTATGCCCCCCAGAATAAAAGTGTAATTGTCTCTTCTTGTGATGAGTAACTGCATCCAGAGTGCTACAAAATCTACCGCATGTCTACTTTTTTGCTAAATCATGTCAAAGCTACATTCAACTACAACACGGGCAAATAAGCGGTGCCTGACGTCAAATAGGTATTCAGAAACCGAATCTCTGTGTGATTGACATCAATACTCAAGCCAAAAATAAATGTTCTAGGATGCTTTTGGTTAAAAATCGATAAGAAATGTTTGTCCTTGACTCTTCATTATCATATGTTAACATTTGCACTGACAAGAGCCAGCAACTTGTGCTTTATTATATGCAACTCTGCACTGGAAGTAGGCTTGACTTGATAATGCACAATCAGTGACAACGACAGCCTCAGCTTTTTTAAACATTGCCCTTAACCATCCCAGTAAAAAACAGCAAGCTGTCTGTTTGAAACCTAATGCGTGATGATTAAGGAACAAAACAAGCATGATCCACTAATGGTCCACCATTTATAATTGTTAACATACGGTTTTTAATATTATGTAGCCATCTAGTGCCAATCATAAATATTGCAACCCATCATCATATGATGAAAGACAAGTATTGCTTGTATGCAAAGAAAGGACCATCACATTGGGCAGTGCCGTGGATCTACTGTAGTTGTGACAATTTGAAAATTCTGTTATCAAAAGAAATAACTCATTAAAAATTGTCTTCACATCTATAATCCCACTATTTAACTTCAGACACAGCTGGTTTACCTTTTGTTAAAATACGACCACAGTGAGAGCAATAAACAGCATAAAAGAAAGGGAAACCTAAAAGAAAAAAAAATTGCTACATTTTTGTTCGTGTTCTTATTGTTTATCTTTTGAAGTCGGTCTCTTTAGAACATAAAGTCATCCCTATTTGATGTCAAAGTGACACCATGGCATTGGAGTTCTGATAGGACAACAAAAGTTCTGATGAGTGAAATAGCTCCATGAAGATTCTGATTATCTTTGAATCAGAAATACAGAAAGAGTGACAGTTTACTCTCGTTCACTTTGAGGTCAAATTTCAATAAATATTTTTTTCCAGCATGGCCTTAAAAGAAGAAGCCAAACAGGTACTGATGCCATAACATCTCTGTTGCAATTGCAAGTGTGAAAAAAAAAGAAAAGAAAAAAAGTGTGTTTCTGTATCTATGAGCGTCAGGTTGCCATGGAGACAATTTTTCAGTCAGTGGGTTGATGCTGATCATCTGAGGCTCTCCAAGACTGCATTAAGATTGAATATATATTAATTTTGAGTCATCTGTAAATAAACTGAAAAGCCAGTTTGAGCCACAGCAGTATTTGTTGTCTGTCGTCACATGTTGTATGTGAACGATCCAAAAATGTCTTTTCCTTGTTTGAGGGAGTGTATATGTGTAAACATGACATCATTACTCACAGAAAGATCCCAGACATTTGCTATCCACTGTTCTCATTGGAGGAGAGGAGCACAGAGGACATCATAATACTCAGCTCAGACCGAAGATGGAGCACGGCTGGAGTATCCATTGTGACCGCGGCAAAATTTGTTGAGCCTTTCCCTGCTTTGACTGCTGTTTCTTTGCTGCTCTGGTCACTGCCGTGGACGTTTTCCTCGTCTTGGTGCGGCGCATGTATGTGCATCACACTCCAGCTGCGCTTCACAGTAGAGCTCACACACACGCGCAGCAGCGAAGCCCCGTGTCATACTTCACTCTCTAGGCTGGAGAAATGGGCAGAACCACGGCGTGAGCATAAGCTCTTGGCTTTGAGCGGCAGGTGTGGGGAGTAGAATCGTCTTGGCTGGGGCACAGACCGAAGTCTCTGGTATTGAAGCTTAGCACTGGCGGTGGCTGCCTGGGAGGAGCCGGAAGCAGCCCCAGGGGAAAGCACAGGTGGAGGAGACATGGATGTAGAGGATGGAGGTGGAGGAATGGGCATGGGTAGGGAGTTGGGAGCAGAAGGAACAGATAATGAGGGCAGGAGTGGCTGAGGTGAGGATGGTGATGCCTGGGGTATGTGTTCTGAGAGCTGGGTTTGCTGGGAGCTTAGGTTGGACTGGCTTCCGGATTTGGATTTATCAGGATTAGGGAGTGCTTTGGGCCGAGAGCTTCCACTGAAGCTGTGGCAGTGAGGAAGCAGATCTTCTTGACTGTGGGACTGAGCACTGCTGTGTTTGTGGTGTGTGTGGGGCCTACCGTGGCCATACTGTGTACACGTACATGATGCTGCATCTTGCATTCTATCCCTGGACCTCTGACCTTTGCTCTTTGGCCCACTGCGGCTACGCTTCTCACCCTTCATCTGTAGTTTGTCCACTGACCAATAGCGTCGCGGTGGTGGAAGGGAGGTGGGAGGGGGTGGCCACTGTGAACCCAGCCCTCCACTGCCTCCCCCAGAACCCCATCCAATCCCTGGACCTGAACCCCAGAAATCACCTGCCACACCCCACCCTTCAGCTCGACCCAAAATGGAGTCATCTCTACTGTTGACACTTCCACCTTTCTCTCGAGCAGGGTATGTTCCAAAAAACCAGCCCCCACCCCCAATTCCACTGGCTCCACCTACACCAGTTCCTTCCCAGTACCTCTCAAAACGGCCAAACTCTCCTGAGGACCCCTCGTCAGAAAAGCTTTCCTCTGCTCTTATTCTGTCCCTCTCTGACTCAGACACTGCTCCTCTCCCTGCACGCCGCACTCTCTCCTCTATTCTCTCCCTCTCTCGTTCTCTTTCTGTCTCTTCTTCTTCCCCTTCCTCTTCCTCATCCTCAGAGTCCCACTCATGGAGGGACAGTCCTTCTCTTGTGTTAACTCGCCCCCTTTCATAGTGGAGAAGCAGTGGCTTGCGCTCTCCTACTCTCCCTTCTGCCTCTCTCTCTACCCCACTACTCCTCCGTCTCTTGGATGAGGAGAGGAGTGTATGTAAGGAGGAGGGAGGGGAGGGTCCGGAGGCCTCAGTGCCACCTGCTTCTCCTCCACTGACCCAGAATTTGACTGAAGAGGGGAGTTTGTTCAGGTTGGGATAGCGTTTACTGGATGTTTGATGTTGTGAATGGGAGCTTTTAGGTCTTCTCTCCCTTCCTCTACCTCCCCCACTCTCGTCCTCTCTATCGTCCCCCTCGTCCTCAACGCCATCTCTCCTCCCTCGTACTCTCTCTCCCTCCCAAGCTGAAAGACTGCCTTTGTCAACAAATGCGCTGCGGTATTGATTGGAAAATGATGAGTACTCTCCTTCTCTATCCCCATCCCCCTCTCCATCTCTCTCTGCCTCAACATCACCCTCCTCTGGCTCTGACCGCTTACTGGAAGAAACTTTCTTCTTCTTTTTTGTTTTCATTGCCTTCTTTTTCTTCTTTTTCACCTTGCGACGCTTCCTTTCTCTTTCTCTTTCCCTTTCACGCTCCTCCCTCTTTTTCCGTTTTTTGTTTTTCTTCTTCTTCTTCTTTTTGTCTTTGTCTCTCTCTTTCCTACGTTTCTTCTCTCTTTTCCTTTCTGTGTCTCCCTGGGCTCCACTACTCCTCTCTCTGTCCCTCTCTCTCTCTGCCCACCCTGCCCACCATTCCTGAAGCTGTGCTAGCTGACTGCCACCCCTCTCTCTTTCTCTGTCCTTCTTGTGCTCCCTGTCTCCAAAGGTGCCCCACGGTTTGCGTGGGGGTATAGGAGGAGGAGGTCCATGAGTGAGAGATCTAGGGGAAAGGATAGACCGTTCTCTGTCCCTGGTTCTGTTGTGGCCCTGCAGAAGACTAGACTCTTCAGTCAGCTCATCCAAATCCTCCTCGTCCTCTTCCTCACCCTCTCTATCTCGGGTGCTGCGAGATGATGCTGTGGAAGTGGATGAAGGAGAGGTGGAACGTGAGGATGTGGCTGAAGATGTGGTTGAGGAGCTGGTAGTGGATGAGGAGGATGATGTGGAGGTGTAGGGGAGTGAGGGAGAAGGTGATGGAGGAGTATAGGATGGGGAATGAGTGACTGGCACGGGGATGGGGAGAGGAGGAGAGGGTCTCGGTCTTCGACTCGCTTCCCTGCCTCCACCTCTCCGGCCCAGTGGCAGGATGTTTTCATACAGTGGGCCACCAGGTTCTTTGGGCTTTTTTGGTCGCCGCTTCCTCCAGAAGGATGAAGGGAGAGGGGGAGAGGGGTGCTGCAGCGGGGGGTTAGGTGTCAGTGGGGCTGGGGCCTGGCTTTTAGGAGGAAGCCTTGGAGTTCCCAGAGATTTAACCCCTCTACCCTGACCCCCTCCACCAGTACCCACTCCCACCTTCTTCCCCATGCCATGGTCCATGCCCTTTTCCTGATAGAAAGCCACACTAGTTGGTGGGGGTTGTTGGTGGGCTCTGGGGACAGTTTTTGGAGTTTGAGAACCTGTCTGTTGTTCCAGACATGTCCCAAGTCCCTCCGGATCAATAGGTCCATAGTAGCGCTTATATCCATCTAGACCACTACCCGTACCTCCACTACTTGCCCAGGTAGGTGCCACCTTTTGGGGTAAAGGCCCTGTTTCTGCTAGGGCTCCTCTCACACCCATGGAGGTGGTGGCACTAGCGGTTTTGGGTAGTCTCCAGCGGTCCACAACCGCCAGTCTGCGATCTGGCCGGGGTAAGAAAGTAGTGCATGGGAGCGGAGCTCCTATAAGTTGAGTATTTGCAGGACCCAGGGCAGCTCCAGAATGAACAATTGTGGGAGGGGAACCAGGAAGAGGTGTTTTGTAAGACTGAGGAGGTTGAGGCTGTTGTGGCTGCTGCTGCTGCACCATGGCAATGGCTGGATTGGATACAGCTGAAGTTACCACATGTGAGGAAGAAGCGGGAATCATGGCAGTGTGATGGTGGCCAGGAACTGTGACTTTAACCCCACCTTGTGCAGTTTCATCTTCAAAACTGCAGCAGCTATACATTCCCTAAAGTAAAATAAATTGTAAAGTTATATTTTGATAATAAGGGCAAATCAGCTTTCATTACATCACTCTCACCCCATTGGTAATACCACAGGCATGTCCATGTTACCATCTTTCTTCTACTCAAACTCTTCCATACGTCTTTCATCCAGTGACTAATAACCACTCACTCTTTCACTTTACACTCTCACTTGACACTCTCTCTCTCACCCTGCTGAAGGCAAGCAGGAAGTCCAGTTTGCCGGACTGGCCCATCTTGTTCATGCAGTGCCGCAGCCTCCAGTAAACCAGGTGTTCCCAGGCGAAGACCAGCAGACTTAGGCCCATGGCCACCAGCAGCATGTAGAACACACCGGCCATGTTGTCTATGTCTAGTTTGGAGCTCATCACTTCAATTTTATCATTATGACAGATCCCTGAGAGCCAGAGACGCTCTAGCATCTCAATCTCATCTGGGTGGAGAGGGGAGAGAAATACAAGGCATTAACATTACTCATTTTCTCATTTAGTAAGTGATACAACTACTTGGCACAGATGTATCAATAAAACATGTATGAATGCAATATGGCATTGAGTTGTCTTTCCCACATGCTTGCTGTAGCAGGAAGCAGATGCTAATACTAAATGTGTACAAATCTGTTTGTATCTGAGTTTTTTTTTTTACTGAAAACATTACAGGTCAGAGGTCAGGTAAACAGTTCCTTGTGGGTAATTGGGAACATTACTGTGAAGGTCTGTTTAGAAGGGATCAAATGGGGAAGTTTTTGTTAATTTTGAAAGAGTGAAAGGAAGAGGAAGAGAGCAAGAGGCCTGTAGGCTAGCAAAGGCTAGGTCCTGCATAATGATCTACCCATATCATCTTTTCCTCCGAGGGTAAATGAGAAGATAAAAAAGGAAGGAGAGCAAAGTTCTTTGTCTTTTCAATGCTGCATTGTATCATGGGAAATGAGAGGATGTGAAGAAATAAGAAAAAAGGCATGTGGAAAAGAAGAAGAGAGTGACTTTGTCATTATGACAAATAGCAGAAGTACCTTTACTATTCAGAGAGGATGAAGTTAACATAAAAAGAGGGATGAAGGATGAAGACAGATGGCGACGGGGGGAAAACAGTACAAGTGCATTTACATGTTTGTGTGTGTGTTTAGGTTGTGAAAGACGGAACAGAAAAGGGGGAAAAAAATAAAGGAGCAACAGAGTGATAGGCAGAGGGCAGAAAAACAAGACGACAGAGAGGGAGACCGAACGGTGAAAGGGTGAGATCATAATCATTTAATTGTGCTGGAAGATGGTCAGGCCTGCTGCAAACTCAAGAGAAAATCAGAATCTCACCTTTTATCTACAGAAAGACGAGCTTGTGAATTACTGCAATCCTTACTACACCGAGGCATGTACTGCAGCATTAACTGCTTTGATGAGAACTGGCCAACTGCACCACGTAATCTCAGTATGGGCCATCTCAAAATAGTGCTGTGTAACATAATAAAAGTACATCATCACCCATCACACTGTAAATGACAGTTGCGTTGTTCTCACAGAGTTTGAATTATGGCATCTGTCTCTTATGCTATCAAAACAAACTATCCAGCAAGCGTAACCTGCGGGCATTAATCACAATGTAGATGAGGTGCCGCAGACACATCACATAAAACATTTCACAAAAGAAAATGCAGTCAAGCAGGACAACGAAGCGCAAGCTGAATCCCACATGGGACTTGAACAGATAACAGCACGAGCCCGGCTTGGATCCCAGCACTGCCTCACTCTGTTGACAGTGTCCATTCACCTCCTTCTGCCTCCGGCCAGTGGCTCTGGCAAACCATTTCACTGACCACAGCCAAACTTAGCAGGTGTGTCATACTGAGAACATACATACACACACACACACACACACACAGCTATATCATAAACACACAAACACCATTCACACACTTGCACAGCTTTACAGATGTACGCTAAGTTACAAATACACACCACACACATTCAGTACAAATGTGCGCATGGCACATTCTAACACAAGTAGACATACTTTCACACCTTTGCTCTTGCCATAACGGCTTCTGTTTGGCAATGGAACTCAGGGTTGGCACGATCAAGTGGGCACATTTTAACAGCTAATGCTTTAGCAAGGTCTTTACGCTCAGGCAGACAGCCAGTCTGTGCCATTTGTGTGATCTCCAACACTGTTCCCTGTGCAGCCCCCTCTGATCCCATCCTGACCCAAACCACTATCATGCTAAAGCAAACATTGCTCTTGGATCAGCCTTAAAGGTCAACACTTTTATAAACAGATCGGAACCGCAGAGGCACCTCTGACCACTGTAATAAGTCCTCTGAAATTGTTAGTAGGTAAAAGGACTCCTATTCGAGACGACCACAGCAAAGAAAGCTGCTGGCCCTGAAATAAAATAAGATAATGCTTTTAGCAGTTAAGAAGTGCGTTTGCGTGGTACTGACCAAGAAGGTTACTTGCAGAGTTTAAAAGAAATGAAAAGGTTGCAGATGGACAAGTGGTTTTCCTGGGGCTTTTAAAGGCTAAAAAACAACAACATAAAAGTACAAATTATAGTTGTAGTTGTTGTACAGCAAAAACATTATTCAGTACCTCCATAGTAACTTCCCACATGTTTAAGCTTCAGAGCTAATTTCTTCGATTGACACAATTTTATTAATTAAGAATTGTACTGTACATTTTGTTTCTGTTATTTTGTTTTGATACAGTATGCCATCAACAAATGCTTATGTAGAAAAGGCAACCTTTCAACTTGGGAAGCTCAATTTTAGAAACAGCACTGCCATTTTCTTTCATGATTGTACAAAGAAGCATTTTGAAAAAGAAGAGCTGCCAAAACAGCAGAAATTCATTAAATCAATGAGATTAAAATATTTGACATTATGTATATATGAAGAGTTCAGATGCAAAAGCCTCTAAATGCCATTTGAAATTTTCTTCTAAAATGACCATTTTTATCAAGCTTGTATATTTAAGTTCAGTAATTTCACTTAAATGACAATTAATAGGTAATCTTTATTGCTATTTAAGTGAAATTACTGAACTTAAATATACAAGCTTGATAAAAATGATCATTTTAGAAGAAAATTTCAAATGGCACTTAGAGGCTTTTGCATCTGAACTCTTCATATATAGACTCATTATTCCCAGAAAGCCACAATGGGTTTTAACATTTTAAAGGTAAAACAAGGACATAATTCAGAAAATAACATCAGATAAAACACCCACCAAAACACCAACCAGATGAATAAAAAAAAGCCACTGTTCATTGCACTTGTTCAGCTTCTCAGCTGTTAAATTGTGGTGTTAGCTAATAGAACCTGGCACCAGTGTGACGATCGCACTGTGGGAACCTGGCGTACACACACGTTCTTTCAGTCTCTCTCTCTCTGACACACCAAAAGCCAAAGAGGATTTAAACAGCAATCAAACAAACCACCCAGTTGAAACAAAACACTGTGTGAGATGGTTAGTGCATTTATGTGTTTGTGTTGGGAGAAGGCAGGGAGGATGGTGTATAAATGACAATTAAAGAATTAGTACTTGGACAAGCACATTTGAATCAGATGCGTTTCACTCTGACATTGCAAATCCATAACAGCTAATCCTCTAAGGAGTGTGAGAATGGACAGTTACTCAACACACACATCTCACACAATTGCTTGGTTCCAAAACCTAGTGAGCTGACTAGCTACCTGCTGCCGACACATATGTACAACTGCCTGTGTAGTTTTTCTGACCATTATGGAACTGTCTAACTGACTAGTTTGGAATTTGGAATGCCTCGTGGCACACCATACAAACAACACAGGAGAAACAACTCACAACAGTTTGCTGTTAGCATGTTCTTAAGCTTACAACGTCAAGTGATAAGCGATTACACATATGGAAGGGTGGTCACAAAAAACATTTGTTGTCTATTGTCAATAAAAAAAGGTTGGTTGTCTATTGTCAATAGTGTAAAGTAAAGTAAAGGCTTTCTGTTGGTCAATGCAGCAAATCCAGGTGACTTGAACCTGTTACGAAGTAGGCATGGGAAAACCTTTCACTCACACACAAAATTCCAGATCGCACATTTCATATCAAAGGGATACTCCACTTTTTTTGGAAATAGGCTCATTTTACCACTCCCCCAGCGTTAAATAGTTGAGTTTTACCGTTTTCAAATCCATTCAGCCGATTTTCAGATATTTAGAAGAATATCAGTAACCAGACAATTTTTGGTCTCATTGACTTTCATAGTAGGAAAAAAATATACTATGGAAGTCAATGAGACCAGAAACTGTCTAGTTACTGATATTCTTCTATATATCACAAAATCGGCTGAATACATTAGAAAATGGTAAAACCCAACTGTTTAACTCTGGGGGAGTGGAAAAATGAGCCTATTTCCAAAAAAATAAAAAATAAAAAATGGAGTATCCCTTTTAATTGGCTGGATTTCACATGCAAGAATTTGATAAAATACATTATAGTCCCTTTATAGTCCATTTTATCCCTTAAAACTCATATTTGATGACCAAAATAACATATTTAAAAAATAAAAAAATTCTTCATGCCTTCAAATAGCTTGAATGTAATTACACCCTTGCCTCGACTCACTCACACCAGCTCAGAGATCAACTCGTTGACAATCACACGTTGTCGTGACTAGTTACAAGGTAGTTTGTGATTTCAGAAACACCAGCATTTTTGAGACCGTCTCTGGTTCACTGTAAAAAAATACTGCAATGGTGTTGACTTATGAATTTGCACAAGGTTTGTCTTAAAGCATATTAAAAACACCATATATCCATATAAACAACAGTAAAAACTTGATTTTCACCACATTGGGTCTTTAAACACACAGCTTGATGACCCACAACCCTGGATCAGGCAGCTCATAGGTTTTGGAAAAGAGCACAGACTTTTTTTCACCATTTCTTTCTCTCTCACACACACACCACTTCTGTCATCCCCAAGACTGAATCTTTGATACATGATACATCTCTTTTATGCATCAATAGGTTGCGATCATCTCTTTCAAATCAGTAAACTGCTATCACAAAGACAAATGTCACCTGGCACACAACAGATACATATTGCGTCATGTTAAGGAAACTGGATTACAACAAAATGGCTGAGAAGATGGCTTGAAGCTAGCAGTACAGGCTAATGAAAACAGGTCTTGTAAAACATGCATAAAAAATACTTTAATCTCCTACATCCCAACAGCATATAAGCACGAATATACAATTCCTTCAATTTTGGCACTTTGATACTGCAGAACCTTCAGACTCTCACCGTCGCCCACCAGCTGCAGTAAGGCCAGGTCCAATGGCCGTTTCCAGCGGGAGTTCTTGATCAGGGCGATGCCGTAACCAGTTGTGGCGAATACTTTCCCTGAGCCGATGGTCATTACTTTGCAGCCTTCATCTTTACGAGCCATGTAGTTCAACACGGCTGCATCATAGATTAAGGCATCCAGCTTACTGCACACAAAGACAGGAAGAGTAGGAGTTAGAAGAGACAGAGAGTGGGATGGAGGAGGGTGATAGACAGAAAGAGAGCAGAGAGGAAAGTTGTAGAGTGGCGGCATTATATTATCACTTTTGCTAAAAATTGATATGACAGGCTAAGGAAATGACAGGCTCAGGAAAACCATGGTGTGGATTAACAACTCATGATAAATAGAGGAAGAGTGTGTGAGGTGTACAGGGCCAACAGAGGAAGTGTGGGAGGGGGAAAAAAAAGTGCAAACACATCGTAAAGGAACTCCTGTTCGTGAGAGCAACATGGGGCTTGGAGGTGTAAGGAAGCGAGTGGAAAAGTGAGAGATGTAACATGTTGGAAGCAAGGTTATTATTGTTTATGTAAACAATTACAAAGACAGAAACTAAATAAACACAGCGGAAGTAATTTCGTTAACAGAAATATAAATGAGTTTGCAAAGGAATGATAGCTACACTGAAATGATCAGGGTTTAACTGCTGGAACTTTAAGAATTAGTTTTCGTTCTTTGTATAAAGCATTTCTCAAACAATAAGTTATTTCAGGACAATTAGAGTAGAGATCTGACCAATCAAATGTATCACTGTTGTAGCCCCATTTATTGTCCATGTGTCATTTTATGAAAATCTTGCATTTCGAGGTTGTATGCTTTTTATGCAAACTGGGCCACACCCACAAAGAACAGAAATTACATTTAGGATATACATTTGGTTTGTCTTGAATCGAGGATTGCATTTAGAGATCATGGTTCCAGTGATATACAGTTCAGGAGATACGCAGTTCAAAATTTGTACAAAATAAAACGCATTTATCTTCATTATAGCGCCCACTTGACTGTTATGTTTAATAATGGCCAATAGTTCTACCAAATTTCAGATCTATAAGCCTTAGGTTTGGGCTCCATGATCAGTTTTAGTGAATACAAAATAATCTTACAAAAACAGTAGGTTTTTATCACTTGATCCCAAAACTATAAATGTGCACAAAAATATAACTTTTGTTTCTGATTTAATTATTTATGTATTTATTTATTTTTTGATTATGTAACACTCTTAAACTCCACTATGGATCCAGTCCAAATGAAAATCTAGGGTGATTAGTAATGGTAGTTTCAAATGCAGTTAAATATACATTACAAACAAGAAAGAATCATCTTTGCACCATTAAAACTAAAACTGAAAACCACTATACAATACAATACAATACAATACAAAATGCAAAATTGTATGAGACATAGAATGACGGAAGTAAGTAAGAAAACCAGCACAAACCCAGACTTGAGGTGGGAGATGGCGTCCTCCACACTTCTCTGGTTGTACTTGATCATGTACTGGTGCATGTCTGGATAGTTACTACGGATGTTTTTCTCTGTGCTTCCGTTAGGGACCGTTCCAAACTTCAGAGGGGGGTACTGCTCTGTGGGGTGCTGAAACTGAGAGAGGGAAAACACAGTATGAAACAGTGATTGAAATTGATGTTGAACTTGTTTTTTCAAAGTAATTAGTGGACTAACAATAGAGCACAATGAAAAAAAAATATTGCAAGAATAAACTTGAATGACGTGTGACAGTGAATGCATGTTAGAAACAGACTAGAGCTACTGCAGCTGTCAAAGCCAACTATAATACATCATAAAAACAGAACAATATACAAAGCAGCAGTGCTGACATGCACATTGTGTTCATTCCACTTCACAATAGTGAAGCAGATGGGGGAAACTTTTCATTTAAAAAGGGATTACAAAATGAACACGAGGCACTTCGAAAAAGAACTAACAAAAGCCACTGCAAGTTAAATGACTTTAAGTATACAGATTTGATGTAGCTTCTTTTCTGAAAATGACACAAACATAATGGGACTCAAATACATTTCATTTAGTGTACACAAGTACATTCATATGCCATGTCAGTGTGTTTCCTCAAGAATCCCAGTAGATTCGTCAAGGTCAACAACACTAAGAGTGAGGGCAAAGGAACATTTCCACGCTAGAATGGCAAATTACTGAACATCTCACAGACCCAAGAGCACTACCACCGTAGTAAAACGCAAGCACAAGTAGAGGCAATATACTCTGGCTGCTAGCAGAAGATTGAGAATAAATTGTCCTTATTGTTAGCTATGATAAGGTCTTTTATAGAATTAGGCAGCTTTTCATGTAATACTGGAGCTGATTGGTAAAGATGTAAAGATGAGTATGCACTATCAAATTCTTGCAAGTGTGTGTGTGTGTGTACACCTTTTAAACGTTTGAGGTCGATTTCATGTTTTGAAAATAAATCTCCTTCACATTAAGGTTCACATGATCTTCAGAAATCATTCTACAAATTTGGTGCTCAAGAAACATTTCTTATTATTATCAATGTTCAAAACAGAAGTGCTGCTTAATATTTTTGTGGAAACTGTGTGTAGTTTATACATATTTTATTATATTTTAAAATCAACGTAATAGTCTTTCTTCCAAAATGTATCATTTCAGTAAGAGACTTTGAAAGCATAGGCTCTTCAAAAGACAAACAGTGAGAAAATGTTTCTTCATGCTGTTCATCCACTTAATAGCCAATTTAAGCTACTGTCAATCTCAAATTCCAGTCTAACTCTAGTCTCTGTAGTCTTAAAGAATATTGATCCCAAAATCCATGTCAACACCACATCACAAATTATGTCCATCTATACGCACCAATAAACACAAGCTCTCTCTGCTTCTACAGTATCTCTTGAAACCATTTTTCCCTTACCTTTTTATCGCTGAGGCCAGACACAGTGTCAATGTATTCCTCTTGGATCATGAAGGCAGCCAGGTTGGCAGTGTAGCTAGCCAGGAAGATGACAGCAAAGAAAGCCCAGACAAGAACCATGATCTTGCTAGTAGTTCCTTTGGGGTTCTCCACTGGAACGGAGTTATTAAAGACTAGCGCCCAAAGAAGCCAGATTGACTTCCCAATTGTGAATGTAGAACCTCCGGCCTCTGACAGGGAAAAGGAAGAGAAACAGAGAATGAAAGACTTTTAACATGGCCTTGAATTTTAAAGGCACTTTAATTATTAATAAGCCCAAAACAAACTAAAAAGTATCATAACTACTAACTTGATTAAAAAAAATGGATTCCTAAGCTATGCAGACAATGAGGCGTGAGAGAAGAGAACAGAGGAGGGATAGGAATACAGAGCACATGTCTGCAGTGCTTTATTATACATGAGTATCTGAGAAACTGCCTGCACCACAGATATCAAGTCCACGTCCAGGCCAATAAACAGAGAGGTGAACTCAACCATTAGGACTCCTGAATAAACTCTGCGACTGACAAGCAACTGTGCTCATTTATCTTTGTCAAAATAAAGCTTGAGACTCCTAATTGTTATGATTGAAGGTTACGTGCAGGACTAAGAACAAACAGGACTCTATCTCTCTATATATAGTGCAAATGATAAAGCTCGGATGATAAAACTGATAGGCGACTGTACAATATTTTCATTGTAGCCTAATAGAAAATGCATTTTGGCACATCATTTCAACATTCTGCTTTTGTATGGGGCGCTGTTTGAAAAGTCACGCTGAAAACAGCAACATACCTCTTTCACCAGTGTTGCCAACTCTGATAATAACATGCAGTCTCTGCATAGACTCGACTTGCTGCCTGATGAAAATTTGACTATTTCAAAGTGTTTTTTGTTTTTGTTTTTTTGGACGTAGGTATAGTCAGATAACAATATTTAAAAATGTATACGTATATTTTTCATTTGATTGGTTCAACCGCCTGCTGTTAACCGCCAACTGAGCATCTCTACAGGGCTCCATACACACTTTATCTGTCACAATGTCTGGTTTGTCATGTGCTTGTGTTCTAGTTCTGTTTATTGTGAGCACATGGCTTGTCATGTGTTTCCTTTGTGCCATGTGCTCTCTTGTCTATTGTCGAGCCCCTCCCATCTTGTTATCTGATTATTGGTTAATTTGTCCCACCTGTACCTCTCCTTACTCTGGACCTGGCGTCAGGGGTCTCAAGTTCGGTGGTCCGGGAGGACTCTACTTCAGGGGTGGTGGTCAAACGGAATCTCTACTCTGATTCCGGTGGTGGCCAAAGTGGTGGCAACACCGCCGTGGCCACATAAACAGCAGAGGAGGAGAACTACCCTGGGACCTACCGTTCCTACCATCAGTCCTGCCATGCCCAAGAGAATGGTACTTTCCTTCTATGCATTGGCCATGCTGCATGCATGGAGGAAGCACATGGTGTCAGCCGATCCAGAGACCGTTCACGTCACGTCTGCCGATCCATTCACATCCCTTCCATTGAGCCAGTGTCTCCATACAAGATGGCCGCCATGCCTGAACCTTCTCCCTCAGCGGAGAAGGCTGCCGCCAAACCTGAGCCGGTGTCTGTTCCTGCTCCACCCTGGTCTGCTCCACCCTGGTCACCTACACAGCCCGTGTTGTCTTGGTTGTCTCCACCATGGCCGCCTGAAAGCTGGTTCCCACCAAGGTCGCCCAAGTGGTCGTCACAGTCATGGCCGCCCGAAGGATCTGCTCTGCCCTGGTCGCCTGCACAGCCTGTGTCGCCCTGGTCTGACTTTTCGGCTCCGCCCACCCAAAGCGATCGGGATGTCACATATGAGTATAAGTCCTGTGCCTGATCACGAGCGCTCACGCTTACTAATAAACACTTTGTCCAAGGCATCCCTCGCGCATCACAAAGTGATCATAAAACGCTCCTCGTTCATCAATCGGGATGCCACATCCAAAACAGCCTGCCACCTCTGTCAGCGAGCCGCCGTGTTCAAGCAAAAAGGGAATCTTTCTCATAGCGTAAGCTAACTTACGCAATACTCGTTCCCTCTTCTAGAGAGAACTGAGGTTGCGTTAGGTAACCGTTACATTTTCTGTGAAAATGTTGTCATGTTAGCGGCCCCTAAGTTAATAACTAATGATCGTTGCGACAGAAGAGAATCAATCAAAACTAATTTTAATTGGAAAAAACTTTATTTTAGAGCTGCCATAAAGGCAAAATAATCTGTTAATTTAATTTATTATTTTCAGTGTAAAGCCACTTTGGAAAACTCTACATTGTTTTAAAGCACTAAATAAATGAAGATGACTTGACTTGACTCACTCTTGCCACTCTGAAGGCTGCGGTTGTACCCCACTGGACTGAAGAACTCAAAGATGAAAACCGTCACTGCCACCACGGTCAGGCACATAACAAACATCATCACCCACACAGCAGGGCTGTACGGCTCTAAAAGAGAAGAGGACAGGAATCAAAACCATTAGTAGTAGTTTTTCTACTTGGTTTGTACACAACACAGAGCAGAAATCAATACCAAGCTTGTAGAAAACGTTAGAACTGGACGAGACTTTTGGAAATGATTCAATTTGAATTTGAATCAAATTAACTTATTAACTTGACTAGGCTTACCATGTTATATTTAAGAAAAAAATAAAAATAAAATAAGCTTCTCATTAAAATGATAAAATAAAATAAAATAAAATAAAATAAAATAAAGAACCTGTTTGGAAAAATGTTGATTTAGTGCTTCTCACTGAAGTGTGATAAATAGTTTGTTTTGAAAGGGAACTGTAAGTCTGATTGATGAGCTCTGGAAAGATACGCACCAGTACCTGAAAAGTCATACATCATAATCACATGCAGCAGAGACTGATTAAAGTCAAATATGATGAAACATTATGGCTCACATGAGACTCACCAAGAAAAGCAGAGGGAGAGACAGTTCCATTACTGCGAGAGACCATGACGCTGATTCCCGTCTCTACAAACGGCACAGAGAAGTCCACGACCTCTGACCTTTCCTCGTTAATAGTGAGGGAGCCGATCGCCATGTCTGCCCGCTTGTACACAACCTAGAGAACAGGAGAAAGTAGAGGATTTTATTTTTGCCCTTTTGTCACTTTTATTTGTAGTAGGAACATTTTATTTACAGGATTTATATGGACTCTATTTACACGAGCACGATTCTCTGTAAACTGCTGCTGTGGCCCAGTAAAGTTGTACTGATTAATCCTTGTTTGACAAGGAAAATGACCATATACTGACCTTACTATTTGAGTCAATGGATATGATGATCATCTCCAAAATGTCAGAGACTAAGGCCCCGTCCACACTACTGCGTTTTCGTTTAAAAACGGAGACCTTTTGCTACGTTTGCACCTCCCGTCCAGACTAAAACGGGAATAATGAAGACCTAAAACGGAGAAGTTTAGAAACGCTGCATCTGCGTTTTGTGTTTTGAATCTCCGGAGGGCGTTTTAGTGTGGACGAGACAAAACGGAGGAGTTTACAAACGATGACGCAGAGGCTCACGCTCGGCTCTATGATTGGGTGTTATCAGTCATGACGTGTCCTTCCCTGATTCGCCAACCACTGTTTACACCGGCGCGCGCATGCCCAGTGTTGGTGAATGGTCACGTGATCCGCGTTTTCAGTTGTTTTAGTGTGGACGGAGATAAATTCTAATACGCAGGTAAAACGCTAGTGTGGACGGAGATCGTTTTTGCTTTAATTCTCCGTTTTTAAACAAAAACGCAGTAGTGTGGACGGGGCCTAAGTCAAGGTGAGCAACTCTTTCCTTAGATCTTCTTGGGAACTTCAGATTTGCTCAGAGATCATGTGGCCACAGTGACTTGCAGAGGAAAAAAGATTGATACTGTAGGTAGCTAGATACCAAGCTTACTCAGGTGTGAATGAGTAGCTATTGCAAATCCCTATTTAACTGGACAGCGAAGAAGTGACAGGAAAGTACAGGAAGAGTGAGGGGGAAACACGACTGTGATTGGGACTTGAACCCAGGTCCCCACGAGCGCAACAATACTGCAAAATATATGTCTGTAGCAACTACTCTTTGTGCCACAGCTCTGACATAAAAAAAAATTGCATTATGGATCAAGAAAGGCCAGAAAGCAAGCTGCTGTATTAAAAGTGCATGAGCCAAATGGTCCAAAGAATGGTGCACTTTATATTATACTATTGAATGCTTGAATTTCTCAATCAATTGAAATGTGCAGTTTAATTTTAATAAAGTATATAGTCCAAACTATAATCAAACTGAACATACATATATATATATATATATATGTTCTGCTGCATGGGCTTTTGTATATTATTGCAGATAACATATCAAATAAATAAATATTGATAGACCTACTTGTTAAAAGGGCTTTGTGTTTCATTTATTAGTCTAGCCTACTTAGAAAAAAAAAAGAATTAAATTAATTCAAACAAATGAATTAATAAATAAGATAAATAATACTGACGCACATGCTTTTCTGTCTCATTATTGCGATTTCTCTCTCTGCATTAAAAACTGCATTAGTCTGCTGTCAGTGGCTCAAACCCACTAGATCTAAAAAAATGTTTTGGAATTGGCAAAGGAGGCTTGGGGTTAAGAAATTAAGAGCATTTTTACGACAAAAACTTGACAAACGCCTTGCAATACATCATCTGGACAATGTTTCGAGGTGTGGTAATCGTAGTATAAGTGGAATAATTGACACCAGGCCGTTGACTTATTAGAAAAAGAATGCACGCTCCGTTTCACGTCGTGACCGCTTTACCACCTCGGGTGTGCATTATTTTTCTAATAATTCAACAGCCCGTCGTGAATTATTCCTTTCTTAAACACTTCAAAGAAGATTGAGCATAGTTTCATGTTGTCAAAGTGCTTGTGCCATTTAATGTGCTAGAGTGGCTTTGTTCCTATTAGTAAATACTATTTAAAAATAATAATGTAAGTGAATATTAGTAGACATTGAACTTAGATATAAATGAATGGAAAATTCATTCTATTTAATTCAAATTTTAGATTTAATGATTTTTCTCCCTTACTTTTATCTGAAAAAAATATATTTCCTTAACATTATGTTCAGAGAAGAGAATGTTCTTTAATGCAGAAGATTCTAGTTGGTGGCTATAACACTTGTTTAGCATAAATGTTTATAATACAAGTTATTTATTTAAACAGTAGTCTTGCTACTTAACTCAAACTGTAAACAGTTCTTTTTATATTCTAACATTTACACTACTTTTCAAAAGTTTGGTGTCAGTAAGAATTTTAAAGGAATTAATATTTTTATTCAGCAACGACTCTTTAAATAAATTGATCAAAGAGGAACAGTAAAGACTTTTACACTCTTACCAAAAATGCTGTTATTCAAATAAATGCTGCAACAACAATATCAAACAGCCCAACCATTTTCACCAAGGTTGCACCAAATCAGCATATTTAAATGATTTCAGAAGGATCATGTGACACTGCGACTGGAGTAATAAATAAATAATATACTTTTTAGTAGTAATATTACTTATCAAATAAATTAAGACTTATTGAACATAAGAGACAAAATCTCACAGACCCCAAATTTTTCAATGTACACTGTAAAAATGAATATGCTTTATCTAATCAATAAAATTGTGGCAACAGATTACAAGCAATATTATTAATTAAATTGAACAAATTGGAATTGAGTAATCCTTAATCAAAATATTCCTTAAAAGTTAACCATTTAAAATGAGTAAAGTTTACACCAAAAAATTAAACAAAAATATCTAAATAACAGACAGACGTCAAAGATTAATTATTTTATATTATCTTTATTTTATATTGCCAACACTGAAGACACCTGACCGTAATTTAAAAAAAAACCTAAAACAAACACAGAGCACCATTATGGTGACTTAAACATACATTCTAAAAAAAAGTAGTTTTACTCATTTTAAATGATTAACTTTTAATGAATTAATTTGATTAATTATTACTCAATTCTATTGTTAAATTTAATTAATAATATTTGTTTGTAATCTGTTGCCACATTTTTTTTTGATTAGATAAAGCGCATTCATTTTTACAGTGTATTATATATTTTAAACCTTTTTACATTATAAAGTCATTTATTTAATTCAAATATATTTAATTAAAATACATACTGCTCCAAAAGTCACCAGAATTAAACACTTTGGTTCTTTGAACCTTGCCCTCAGGCCCCCCAAGAAAATAAAGGTGCACTTTTTTTTCTTTTTTACTCGATGGGGAGAAGCGCCAGCAATGCCCCTGGTAGAAAGAGGACATACAATGTTAGGGAGAGAAGAGTGGAACGAGCTGGGGAATTGACACGAAGATGAATCAAACTTGTGATGCCCGCATGAGCACCACGGTCCAAAATTTCCTCTACACTTTACTGATCAAAGCACTCACTGCACACTAAGACTAGACATTCAAAGAACTATCAAGAACTGGTTATGTACAACATAGGCGAGTCCTCAGCAAGGAATCAGCATTTTGCCTGAACACAGGGGCCATATGTGGTGTGTAACAGGTGGTCTATCTGCAAATCCAGAGAATCTCCATCTCTAATTAATATTCAATCCACGTACTGGCTGCATTCCAGTATCCATAAATTGGTCGAGCAGATAGTGTTGTAAGAAGCCTGCACACATAGACACTACAGGAGGCAGGTTATCCATCTCAAGACAGTATACCCCATACAGAGGGAAAGCATGTACGGGAATACCAAAAAGGAGGGAAAACATTAACATCTTTACTTTCCAGTGCAGCTCTTTTCTCACTTTGCATTCTGTTTTATATTCCTAAATGTGTAAAAGCTCATGATGCAGAGGAATGGGATTTATGGTGACGAGTGCCGGGTTGAGTCACTGCCTAAAGTCACGCAGGTTACAAGCTTTCCCAAATCTCCTCTGACAGTTTGAACGCCGCATTGATTCTGAAAAGATGCGCACCTGCCTGCGCCAACGTGTAATGTGGGAGACAGGATTTTTTAGGTTGTATAATTTCAAAAGCTTTTGCATCCTTGTGGAAAGTGAGCCTGCATGTTTGTGGGTCTGCAGAGAATGTGGAAAGAACATTGATGAAGTTGTTTCCTTATGAGCGCGCCGCAGTCCCGGTCCTGCTGCAGGCCGGCACAACGCACAGGGGAAATGTGGACCTGTCGTAGATAGAAGATCAAAGCCGCTCACGCACACACACTCTCGCAGCCTGAGAAAATAACCCTTAGCACTGCGCCTACAGGGGCCATGCTGACAGCTGATTGGCTGAGCATCAAAATATGCAGTGAAAAGACCAAAAGAGAGGGAGAGAAAGAGAGAGAGAAAGAGAGGGAGAAAGGAAAAGACTAAGAAAAAGAAAAATATGTGGTCACAGAAAAAGAGACATGTTGAAAACCAAGGAGCAAGGGAAGAAAAAAGAGAACACATAAGATACCGTGAGAAATATTAAGACCATAAGGATGGAAAAGAAGAAGGAATGAGACAGAGAAAAGAGCCGTTTCCATTCCCTAGCAACTGTCTTGAACAGGCGTCACTCCAGGGTGTGAGCGCCACAGCGGGGTCTCGCTCTCAAAACAACAACCTCCTGTCTGTCATTCGCACTCACATGCATTGGCAAGTCTTTTTGGGCTGGCTTCAGGCCTCTGTCTTGGATACATCTGTGTATGTGCGTGTGAGCCATTAGTCAAATTCCTCAGCGCTGTGTTAAAAGGGTTCAGAGTGTTTCAGCAGTCCTGGAGGCCGGCAGATACGGGTGGGAATTCAGTCATCAAACAGGCCAACAAGTTACATCACGCATTGTCCTGGGAATTCTTTACACAGAGCAGCAATCAGCCCAACAGTTCTAGAGATCGAGCACTCTCAAGGACCCCAAATAAAAATAAGCAAAAGCCTTGATTTCTTCAGCAACCCTTTATAATAACTTTCATTAAGAAAAGATTAGAAGTTAGAAGAAAATAGAAGTTCAAGATGTTTTATCGTCTTTACCCCCTTTTTAAAATAAATTAATAAATGTATTAATGCATTAAATTGATCAAAACTATTTTAATTTTAAATGCAATAAAAACAAACAAAGATTGCTTATAAAATATTTTCTTTTTCTTTTACAGCAATGACAATTTTAAAGTTCGGAAACAACATATTGTCTATATAATATCATGCTATCATATGCTATTTTTTTTCTCAGACCTATAAACGGATCTTTATGTATGAAAATATATAGCTGCTTTTACATTTTAGAAAAAGTGAGTCCCTCTCAAGGGGATCATCATATTTAAAGGTCCTTCCTTGGCATGAAAAAGGTTTGCAAACCCCTGCCTTAGAGGTGAAAACGTCTTGCTTACGTATGTAACTGTATGAGGTAACGGAGACGTAATCGCTGTGTTGACTGATTGGGATCACGCTTAGGGAGCTTGTCATCTTTGAGTATTGATAAAACAAGCTAATGGACATTGGCTTGCGAGCTTTGCATCTCACACTCCGCCCCGCAGCACGGTAAGTGGATGCACAAATCAACTGTTTTTTTGCAGAGAAGCCGAGCGGAGCCCGGAATCAGTGGTGGTCCAGGGACTACATCTCCATTCCCTCCTTCCTTTAACCGAGACGTTCCCTTTCAGCCGCTCATGTTTGACATAGTCGACTGATTGGGATCCCAATTAAAAAAGCACTAATGCTGTCTGTCACCTTCCGGTGCCTAAACACAAGGCTCCTATCCCCCCACATTATTGAGGCGGAGATGGGACAGGGCTTAGGCCAGGGAAGTCTCTCCTGATCCGCAAGACCCACTCAGTCAGACTTGGACAACACTGGGAAAGCATGTCCTTTCCTCGGAAAGGAAGACGCTTCAGAAGCCACATCCTGCCCGAAGGGAGGCAACATGTGGAGTATACACTTATGGACTGGCTGTTTTACCGAGCAGTGCAACATATGGAATGTCACTCAGGTGGTTCCGCAGGGATTCTACTGTGGAAGAATATAAATATGGGATCACCGTAGGGATCACAACATATCACCACCCAGCTAATACAGGGTCCACCAGTGCATACACTCTTAGAAGAAAAGGTTCTATATAGAACCTTAAAAGGTTCTAAAGCGCTACGTATTTGGAACCCCTAAAATGCAATGCATGTGAATGATCACAAAATTCAAGATATGTTGGTTAAAAAATGTAATTGATCAATATCACACGAAGAGTGCCATTTCAGTTTTTATCCTCCAAAAATCTGCATGATTAAAATGTGATATTAAGTTACTACAACAGTTTAATAAACAATAATTTATTAACAACTACAAAATGTTGCAGAATAATGTAATATATGAACAAATAATAGCCTTTAAAGAACCTTTGTGCCAAAAGTGTTCTTTCTTGTCATTATTGAACCTTTTTAACATAAAATGTCCTTTGGAGTTGAGTAAAGAACCCTATGCTACATATGTAGAACTATTTTTTCTAAGAGTGTAAAGGTGTTAGGCCTGGCATCACACGCTCCAAAACATCCATTACCAAAGGGTGTGAAGGAACTCAACAGGGTTCGGCTAAAGAGGAACTCTACTGGAGCAAGAATGGCACACGTATCCAGTCCATAGGAGGGGAATGGCGCAGCAAGCTGATACTTCGAATCAGGCTTACAGTGAAACTGGCTTCATGTGAAGGGAGCTCACAGGAAGCAACCAGCTCGACACATAGACTATTTTTCTAGCGAATGTGTTTGGTGTTGCCCAGTATCACTGCCCAGGAAGGAGCTACACTCACTCTCTCTCTGGAGAGGCTCTCTACCCAGGTGGGCATGGCGTAACTTGGGTAAACACATCAAGATGATGGCAACCACTATCCAGTAGGCCCACTTCTGCTTGGAAACAGCCTTCCCTTCTTCTGGTCTCAGTAACAGACACGCGCTGGTCTGAGGATATAACTGCGTTACAATCTGCATTCTGTCCAGTTATAACCGTGAGGAGCATAAGGGACAGAAAAAAGCCAGGGCTGGGTCTGCCTCCTCCAGGCAGCACTTGCAGGCTCACCACCTGGTCCCGTTTTAAGTGAGAGGTAGTATAAACAAGACCTGCTCCTTCCCTGTTGCACCTCCTCCCTGACTTAGCACAGGGCTGTGCAAGAAGGCTCACTGGGGAAACACATCTCTGCGGAGGCCACCCGGGCCCAGCTGTGTGCCAGTGTCTCCGTGCCGAGGGTTCTCCGCTCGGTCAGGGAGTAAAACAACTGGAAATGGGACGAGTCTGGAGAGAAAAACAGATGTAACTGTGCGGCCCTGAAGTGGTCCCTGAACAGCTGGACCGTCTGAGATCCTCAGCCCATAGGCAAGTTTACTCTTTTCCCAGTTGACCTGAAGACCTAACTGGCTGTGCAGCACTCAAGGGGAGGGACTTTGTACTGACTTAGAACCTGACTTAGAACGCAAAAAAACACAGGTATGGCCTGCATTGCGGAAGGATAGGTTTGATTCAAGACTCGCAGGTCCAATTGGCCATAACCCACCGCCTTTCTTAGGCACAATGAATTACGGGCTGTAGAAGCTGGTCTTCATATCGGCTGGAGGAACCGGCTATATCGCATCCTTCGTCAATAGGACTGCGATCTCCGTGCACATGATAGGGACACGTTCACTCAACACCGAAGTGTAACGAATGGCGGCCAAACTGAATTACTGTTATTACTGTTATAGACGAGTCTGGAGGAGCCAGCTGGACCGGTTGGGAAGCACCTCTTCAGGCTTCCACGAACCGGGCCAGGGGGACACATAGGCACCACAGACGTACCCGGTGTGGGACAGCGAAGTGGAGGACAGGAACCCAGTTCGGAAGGCCCCAGGCGGCCTGAAGCAGGTTTTGAGTGTGCGGTGCGACACTTATCTGTCTCCACGGATTGGCAGGGGTTGCGTGAGAAGGCTTAATTGGGCCTCGAACCGCACCCAGCTGCAGGCTGGCGACACAAGAGGGGGCTGAGGGGTGGCCCGTCTCAGGGACGCTTAGGAGCTGCCAAACCAGGTGGCAAGCATAAGACTGAGACAGACTGGGTGACCTACCTGCAGCTGGCTGCACGCTGAGGCCGGGGTGAAGGCTGCTGCGGAGGCCCACCGGGATCGGGAGCAGCGGCAAGGGGATGCCTTAGGCAACGAGCAGGCGGAAGAACTGCTACTGGCAGTGGGGTGGAGGCAGCAGCTGGCCGCCGGGGCAGGATGGTCTGAATGGCCTCCGTCTCCACCACATCACCGAACAGCCCAACCTGGGAAATTGGGAAACCTTGTCCGTATCCATCATATCAATCAGGTTGAGACAGCGATGGCGCTCCTGGACCACTAAAGTGGACATCGCCAGACCAACCTTGCACACCTCAATGCTTGCGCCCCGGAGGGCGAGGATTGGTTGCAGTGCGGAGGTCACCTATGAGCGCACGGTCTGGCCTACCCTCGTACCCTACCGTGGGCTACCCTGAAGGGATAGCTTCGTAACCCTTCACTGCTCCTCCCTCAAGGGTAGTAAGGGGGGAGGAGCTACTCAGACAGTTTCTGGCAGAGAAAGGTACCTGGTAAGCTCTCCATGCACTTGTGGCGGCGGGCTGAGAATCAGCACGGCACGCCCCTAGAAAACAATCATCCAACCGAGACTGTTTGGGACACGGTGGTGGATTCCACTCGAGCCCAACAGCCTTGGCAGCCTGTTTCAGCTTAGCTGACATCTCTGGATCTGGCTCGGGGAATGTTACACTCCCAGAGGGTAAAGTCAAGTCATCATCTCAGTCAGCTCACCCTTCGATGCTGCAATCGGCATCCTGTCCTCTGGAGTGGCCCCTAATAAAACGGCTGGTCGGTCCATTACAGAGGGACCAGCACACTCAATGTGGGGCTCCACTGGCTACGGTGCAATAGAGGAGTGAGAGGCCCACATGGATTGATTACCGGGTGGGGAAGCCATCACTGTAATCCTCCGATCACCCATCCAACACTGCACCCTGGGATGGGGCGTGGTAATGGGGACTACACCTTCGCGGACGAAGGCGCGTCTTAATCTTAAAACCGCAGTAGTCATGTTCCTGCAATGGGAACATGAACTATCCACAAAAGCAACTTCAGCATGCTGTAAGCCCAAACACGTGATACAACTATTGTGACTGTCAGAGGGGGACAGGGAATGACCGCATCCAGAAACGCACAGGGGGAATGACATCTTGAAAAAGACACAAATGCACCTGTGTTGCTCTTTCAGGAAGTTTGGGACTCTCACCAGTGCCGGACCACACAGGAGAATGATCGTGGCAACACTGACAGGAATGATGGAGCCTGAACCAGTTAAGCATTCACTTTCTTCGCCCTCAACCGACCGTCAGACAAACAAAGATAAAAAGAAAGCAGTTGAGAGCTCAGAAGGCCACCGCTGCAGTCCTGCTGTTGAAACACCAGCACCGGCAGAGACTTTCAGAAGCATCGATACACTTGCTCATTGAAAATATTCAACACTCTTCAGAGACATCGATGTGAAGATCGATTGGCTCCGAAGCGAAAGACAAATGGTGCATCCACTTCGTATTTATACCCGCGCTGCGGGGCGGAGGGTGATATGCAAAGCTTGCACGCCAATGAGGCTAGTTTTATCAATACTCGAAGATGACAGGCTCCATAAGCATGACCCCAATCAGTCGACTACGTTGAACGTGAGCGAATGAAAGGGAACCCTGGATACTCCCTCACTACACACTTACATACATCCTTATACAAAGGACATTGAAACATGTCATAGGCTCACATTGCTTGCTTACTGCAAATATACTGAACCATGCCCTCGTCTATCCCATAATCCCAGTGTTTGATCATCATGAGTACTAATACTAAAGGGAATAGCAGCTTTGCCTTTAATCTGTAGTCCTCTCTCCACCTAATGCCTGTATTTACATATGCAAGTAAAGTCTTAGAGATATCGCTGACAGTGCATCCAGGGCACTTGCTCATCAGAATAAGGAGAATAAGGAGAGGCGCTGATGGGAATACAACAAGCCTGGCAAGTTTAAAGTAGACAAAAGATTTTAAAAAGCCTTTCTCACCTCTCCCACCATCCCGTTCCAAACACCATCAATCTTTTTCCCATGTTTCCCATTGGTCACCAAGTAGAGGTCATAGGTGAAGCCAACAATTCTGGCCAATCGCTTAAGAATGTCAATGCAGAATCCCTTGCAGCACTGTTTCATAGGTGCCACCCCTTCCTGAAGTGCACTGTAATCAGAGAGAAAGTGCTCACTTAGCTTTATTGCACGCGACAAGAAAATCCATCACATTCCCAAAAAGGTTCAATTTGTTAACATTTGTTAATGCATTTTTGTACCCAATATTTTATCATTCCTTTTTAGGAATAATATATTTAGCTAAACAATAAAATAAAATATGTTTGAGTTCAGTAAAATAAATAAAAAAGGAAATTCATATTTGTATTCGGAAAGGATGCATTAAACTAAATAAAAGAGACAGCAAAGTATTTACTTTCATCAAAGAATCCTGGAAAAAAAAAAAAAAACACTATCACAGCTGACACTGAATACTAGAGTAGTGATACTAAAAATTCAACTTTACCATCACAGGAATAAATTACATTTTAAAATATATTAAAATAGAAAACAGTGATTTTAAAGGGTAATAGTGTTATTACTTTTTATATTATTATTAAATAATATTAGCTTATTATTAAATAACCCCCCCCCCTCCCCTCCCCTCTTAGTGAGAGAAAACAAGAGAAACACTGTTACCAGAGTGACAGAGTTACAGAGGGAATGTGAAATAAGGAAAGACAGAATAATGAGAAGGGCAAGGTTTTCAGTAGTATGTTGTCTTGGTACATTTTCTGTGATATAACTTAAATTGATGTAATGAGATGAAACGCGGACGCCTACATGACTGGTGTAGGAGTACTGCAACAGCATCCGTAGAGACACACATAAGCACAACAAGAGCTCAAGCAGATTGACAAGCAACATGATGGCTAAGTATGAGTAGAGATCGCCACAAGGCAATTCAAAATGTGGGGGGAGTGTGAAAAAAGAGGAAAGAGAGAGGAAATGAGTGATCGATTGCAAAGCTAAGATAGGCGAGTATAGCCCCGGAAACTTCACAGTGATGTCTTGGGGGAAAAAAGTGAGAGACACAGAGATAGACAAAATTGAAAGAATGTGACAAATGACTGGAGAAAGATGACCAACGCCTCCAAAGAAAATTCTTTGAAACAAGATAAAAAAATAAAAATAAAAAAAAACTGAAACAAATAGACCTTGCTTATGTACAGTACCGGTCATATGCCCATCAAGCCTGCATTAATTTAATGAAAACTACAGAAAAAGAAAAAAAAGTAACATTGTGAATACTGTTAAAATAATGTTTTTTTTTTTTTTAATTTACTTTAAAATATGATTCATTTATTTAATGCAAAGCTGAATTTTCATCAGCCATTACTCCAGTCGTCAGTGTCACATGATCCTTCACTTTTATTCAAGGATGTGTCAGTGACAGTAAAAATGTATATTGCTAAAAAAATCTGTTTTTTAATCTCTGAATAAATGCTGTAATATCACAGGTTCCAAAAAATATTAAGCAACAACTGTTTCACAACACTGATAATAACAGAGTATCAAATCAGCCCATTAGAATGATTTATGAAGGATCATGTGATGCTGAAGACTGGAGTAATGGTTGATTAAAATTCATCGCAAAATTATATTTATATTAAAAATAGAAAACCATTATTTCAATCGTAATAATATTTCACAATATAACTTAATTCTTTTTAATCAAGCGTATTGTTAGTTCTGGCAGGTCACCTTAAGCAAGCTTGCATCAGTAAGTTTAGGAAAATGTGGAATGACATTGGAATGCCTCCCTCAAGGGTCATATACAGCCCGTTCTCATCCTTTAGCGTCACATAGAACGCTATATGACAAAACGGCGCTATACTACGGACATGGCACCCTTTATCGTTAATATAACACGCGAACCCAAGTCGTCATAAATCCTTTAGCATAATATGAGACTACCCTACCCTACCCCACACCTAAACCTACCCATGACAGCGCGTGTTATATTAACGATAACGGGTGCCATGTGCATGGTATAGCGTCATTTTGTCATATAGCGTTCTACATGACGCTAAATGATGAGAATGTGTTGTCTTGTTCAAGAAAGAAACTCCTTATCCTTTCCACTGAAAGATACAATTTTCTAATTTAACATGTGTATTATTCAAGTGAGTCCCAGGAAACCAATGTTCCTTTTCCTGATAAATAGCAGAAGAGGAGGTCTGATGATTACTAACCTGGCATTAAGAGGCCGCCGGCATGGCACAGAGTCCCTAATGCAGGTTCCAGAGGCAGGGTCTGCAAGCTCCACGATAACGAAGGGGCGCTCCTCCAGGGTCACAACCCTCAGGTGCTGGGCATCATCGGGCGGCTGCAGGAAGGGGCCATAGCGAGACCAAGCAGGGTATCTCAGACGTAACACCCCGTTCTCCCACCATCCTACCTAAGACCACACAGACAGTGCATGGTCGAGGGTCAGAGATCATTTGCGTCTAGCGGTTTCAAAAATGTGGCTAATAATATAAAATAATAATCATTGTGGCCATGATAAATCAATAACACATGAAAGTCAAAGGTCTTTTCAGCGATTTCAGCTATTTAAATGGTCTATTCTAAACAAGTCACTGAGGCTGGATTACAGGCAGGAATGCCTTCCCTTACTCAGGTTAAGCCTGTAAAGTGGGGAAGGATAGTGAAAAGTGAAAAATGAAAGACTATCGCCTCTATGAGCTTATAGCTGAGGACTCTCTAAAAACAGTCCTGTGCCCTTTTTACCCACTGGGGAATGAGTGGATTTTTCTTTTCAGAGGAAAAAAAGATTTTTAGAAAGACAGATTTTTAGCTAAGTGACGGGCCACAGAGGAAAAGGTTACGAGCCTGAGAAAAAAACAGAGAAGGGGTAAAATGTGTCAAGATGGGCTATGACAGCATAACTGAGCTCATAATCCATATACAGAAGATCAAGACCTGCACAATTGTACTGTATGTAACAGAAACAGTGGTATGCACAAGGTCCTTGATGATAGGAAAACCACAACACAGTTGGCAATTAAAAATATGCAATTAGGTACATTACAATGACTATTATTTATGTATGTAGATTATACTTTGTATAAAAATCCTTTATACAAAAATAATAATCTGCATGTATTAATAATAATTAATAATATTTAATTCTTATTCTTAATAATAATACATTTTCTTATACATCATACAGAAAATGCAAGATTTGCAAAACTAATTTGGAAGACCTTTATCCAAAGCAAAACACATATATAAGAAATGCTACAACAAGTAATTCGTCATAAGACGACAGCAATAACAGAATAGCTGCGATACAAAGCATCAGTTCAATTTGAAGAGATATTTCACAGATATTTCCATATACCACAAACAAATTGAATATCTAAAGAATCTTCACACAAAGGATCTTTTCATACAACAGCTTATAGTGATCAAGCTTCAAGCAGGTTGTCAAGCTTCAAAATGGCCAAAAAGCAACGCAAAAAACATCATAAACATAATCCATATATTTACATTCAGAATGAAATTGAAGTCTCACAACCAAACAAACACCATGATGTCATGACATCAAATATCTGAGACAAATGTCAAACCTGCAAAAAGGTCATATGTGCGTCTACTCTAAAGCCGTCTTTAGAGTGCTTTTATTTCATTTCAAAAGCTTGACAGTTTGTGATCCATGATCTGTCACTGCATGGAAAAAAAAAAAGATTTGTTTGTGAAAAACAACACAGGTTTGGAACGACACATGGGTGAGTAAATAATGACAGAATTTTTCAGTTTTCAGAAATATTTCCTATAGGACACAACAACCTCTCGTTTGCAAGCAGCAAACACTTCACGCGCAACTGTCCTGTCCCAATCCCAACCGTCAAACTTTGTTCGCAGCATTGAGCCATAGGAGTCTCCTCTACACACCGGCAGAGACTGGCAGCTATCAGCACCCCTCGAGAGCTATTCAGATACAGCAAAAGATGTTCAGCTCTCATAAAACTGTTACAAAGTCTCCATGGCAGGCGAAGAATAAATATACTTCTCATACGCCGTCTATGTGCAAGCATACGACTCCAAGAGATCAGCCAGAGGCTGGCAGCTAGAAGACTTTGCATATTAGCACAGGATCAGTGCAGAGGCAACTAAATGAAAGGAATAGAGCAGGAAATGGCAGCAGTCAGCATGCGGATTCCTGCGAGCGCTAGTCTCATTGAGCTAGTTATCCCACTTTCTATTTGCCCTGTAACCAAGGCTGTGCCACTACAAAGGCTCCGAAATCAAACGCATCCGGGGCGGATCATTGGAAATTACAAAAAGCCGATTCGCTGACATCCGCTCACCTGGTCCCTGTCTCGTTCTCTGTTCATCAATCTGTCTGCTTGGGTCAGTTTGACTGTCCATTTGTCTGCTTTCTCTCTCTCTGTCACTCTCTCCACCCTTCTTAAACATCCACCTTTACAGTGTGTTAACCCAAAGTTCTATTTTCTCTGAGCGCCACTGACAGGAGGGAAGAGAACAGAAAGGGAATGTCGTGTCTGCATCTGTCATCCCAGAATCAGCCACGGAAAGAGAATCAGCCACACATCTCAACAGGTGACACCGTCATGTATTAAGGATGTCTGAACAGCTTCATAAAATATGCATGGTGTGTCACAAAGTAGCACAACCAGGCAAGATAGGACTGTGTGGGATCCGAGTGGTTTTATGCTGCTTCTTGAGGGATAGAAATGCTAATCATGCAGGGTGTTTAGCGTCATGTCCTTACAATACTCTCTAATGTGTTTGAATGGGCTGTTGGGTTTCTCTTCTCCCTTTCTCTTCTCTGATCTGTCTCCTTCTTCCCCCTGAATATTTCTTGCTCTCTTCTACCTCCGAAATGCAGCGAGTTCTCTGGGCCGATCCGCGTCAGCCAGACGCCTTAACTCTTCTCGACGTCGGAACGTGGGCCGACAAAACGACCGAAATAGGAGTGTTGGAGCATGTGTGGAGATCTAGAGATCCTGCAGTGAATAACTAAGAGCCGGAGTAGCAGAGATCTGGGCCCAAGCTGAGGGGGCAGAGCCTCACGCAGGCAGAGGTAGAGCAGGGGCCTGATCAAACACCGTCTCCCCCGGGAACGGATAATACTTTCACAGGGTGAAACACAAACACGCTGCCATGACACCCCCATCCCTGTGAAAGTCCCTGTGAGAGGAGGATGAAACGAGGCGCTTTTCCCCCAGCGCAATCCTTACAAATCCACTAGAAGATTTACACAGCATAAACACACATGGACACATCCTGACAGGTACAAAGAGGGTTTGGAAAAATGTGCCTGGCATTTCATTTCTTAAATGCCCCCCCCGATATGTATCGATTTATGAGAACAGCATGGACAAATGGGATCAAAAGCGTTGTAGCAGTTAGTTTGTTAAAGCACTATAAATGCTGCATGTGGAAGCCATCACATGAAGTGCCTTGTGCAACACGGCTTCTGGTAGTTTAGTCATCCGCATCCATTGTCTACTCCATGTTTGACAGAACGCATTTAAGACAGCCAGAGACAAAACGGAGCGAAGACAAAGATAGCGTGCATCACATTTTAATAGAGTGCCCTCCTAAAACAAATGGAAATTGAAAACCTCCTATAGTCAGCGTGGAAGCCTTTTAAACGTACATTATGGCGCCCCATTAAATATATTATGTGAATCACAAAGACTCCGTGACTCTGAAGTACAAAAGCATCCAGACGTCTCTAACAGCACTTTTCTCCAGAACATATCTGCAAATGAGACGCAGACGCCAAAGCCAGAACCAGCAGCATGCAACTCTTAACAGACTGTTGCACAGTTTGATGGGTTTTTTAAGAGTTGTTCCGTGCAAAGATTTTAAAAACTACAAAATACCACTGTTTTCCACTCTGTGCTGCTTGACCAAAAGTTTTAATGGAATAGAAAACTAAAACTTCTCTCAAGATTTACTCATGTCATTTCAAAACCAGTTATTTTGGAATCGAACACACTCTTTGAAAAAAGGGTTCTTTATGTACTGTAGCATAGGGTTATTTACTCAACTCCAAAGGGCATTTTATGCTAAAAAAAGGTTCAATAATGACAAGAAAGAACACTTGGCACAAAGGTTTGTTAAAGGCTATTATTCATTCATAGATTACATTATTCTGCAACATTTTGTAGTTGTTATTAAATTATTGTTTATTAAACTGTTGTAGTAACTTAATATCACATTTTAATCATGCTTGATTTTTGGAGAATAAAAACTGAAATGGCACTCTTCGTGTGATATTAATTAATTACATTTTTTAACCACTATGTCTGGAATTTTGTGATCATTCACATGCATTGCATTTTAGGGGTTCCAAATACGTAGTGCTTTAGAACCTTTTAAGGTTCTGTATAGAACCTTTTCTGAGTGATAGTCTGATGGCAACGATTTTCCTCTATGAATTTGGTATGAATTTGTACAGTCTCATATATATGTACTTTTTCGTCTGATGTGCTTACACCTCACTGACGGTTATGTTTTCGAACAAATTACATTATACGAATTCACATGAAATCGCTACCACATTAAATAGTTACGTTTTCCAATGAGATGAGGTTGAGCTATAATAAGAGTTCTGGAGATTTGGAATATAGAATATAATTTATATGAAGCTCTTTTACTGCGATTTTTTACTTTTACAATTATATTTTTATTTTTATTATTTTTTATTTTTGCTGTCCCAGAGTAGTCACCATTCACTTTTATTGTGTAGAAAAGAACATTATTAAAACACTGCTTGGCATCTGCTTTTATGGTTGACAGAAAATCATTTGGGTTTGGAACAACATGAGAGTAAATGATAGAATTGTATTTTTGGTTGAACTGTCAGTTCAATACAGGATGAAATAAAAGATTTTAAGGAAATGAAAGGCTGGCCTGATTCAGAATGGACTAAATGTAGAACAGGCAGTGAAAAGGGGCTCATTGGCCTCATTGCACCTAAACAAAGCCTATCCACAAGTTTCCTACGCCCCATGAGGCCTTGCGTCAAAAGTGGGCGCGTCTTCCGGTTCGAAGTCAACAAAGCGCGACTTGACATGCTTGACACTCATTCAATCAACAGTTGACAGTCATTCAAGTTATAACGATCCAAACTAGCTAACGATGTGGGAACACAACCCCATCGAAATTAAAAAGAGTGAAATAACAGTACCTTTACCCTCCGCAGTAGTTGGTTGGGAGTATTATAATAACATTATTAATAATCAATACTCGCAAGGCATGGTGACAGACAGTTGTGTGAGGTGACAAACAATTAAAATAAAAAATACATACTTAGTCATTGTGCTTTGGAATTTATTCAAAATTATAAATGAATGTGATACTTGAATACATTAACTGGCACATTTGGTATTCTGTCAACACAGACTTTGATCCCGAGTTTAGGTGTAACATCAGTAACGAACAGCCAAACACATGCTGATAGAGTTTATAGAATATTAAGAATTTAAACAAATGTACACAGGAAGATGCGTCGTCTTTTGGGAGGTGATGGAAACTACAGTCGTTGGCAGGATCACTCTGATTTCATTTTCGTCTTATGTTCAAAACAATCACGTTTAAGCCACTGAATTAGTTTAGTCCAGTTATACATACAACCGCGAACAGCACATGTTGTCCCTGAGCTCCGTAACGGCATCTCTCATAAAGATTTGCGTCTTTAAATAGTAAAATAATTCTCCAAGAAACAGCTAGCCTCTTCGCTAACTAACACACAAAATACCATTGGAATGCTACTTCTGCCGCGTCACCGGAAGTTTCACCCACTTTATTTTTTACAGGAGCGCCCCTCGGAAACTTGTGGATACAAGAACATCGACAAAACAAACACTCAACCTTTCAAGACGCCCTGGGCTACACAATCTCCGTGCATCCTCTCACTTTCCTACCGGAGCATGTTAAGGTGAATCTGTTGCTGTTGCATGAAAGAACGCGCTGCCGTTCGAAGTGCTATCAGGGGTCCAAGGCATAACAATCCTTGTGAAAAGCATTGATTGCAAGCTATGTTGTGCTACTAAATGCACAGAGTACAGTATATAAAGACCACAAATAAATATGGATGGTGACAAGGTATGGGAATCAGCAGAAAAATAACCCCCACTCTATATCGATACTTTTTGCTCTTATGGCTCAATGTCAGTGAATATCGCCCTAAGGAATTCGAATTTCTCCCAAGTACATAATCCGCGGTCTTTTTCTCTGTTAACAGATTGTAGCGGTGGAGAACACGAGCGCTGCCAGGGATTACAATTTTCAGTCTCTACCCTTGTCTTTGTGGCATCTAAATATTAATAATTCTGTTTTAAGGCACTGTTTGAGTGGCACCTTCATGTCTATGACATTCTCCCCGGCTATATTTACTTAGTTGGGTTTGGTATCAGTTATTTTGTCTCACGACAGCAGTGCTCTGCGGGATAAATAGAGCCACAATGTCCCATGTGGCACCAACGATATGCTGATATACAAGAAGCCAATGCATTTAAAAGAGTTTTTATTCATTATTTATTCCTTTTCCGCTCAGAGATCCTTAACACAAGCATAACTAGCGAAAGAGGGAAAAGAGGAAATCAAATCCATTCTCTAAAACCATTTCACAATTAATTATTTTCCATTTATTGCTATTCACATAATAGTAATAAAGTCGCAAGCTAGCTAATAACGTAGGAAAGCATTGCTAATAACATACCGAGGGTATCGAGGAAATGCATAGATAACAAGGCCAGATGTAAACATGAGATAATTGTGCATTATGTACGTCCTCTTGAAACCCCAATTATATGTTTATATCATTGAGGCTTTAACGTTTCTCTGCAGTACAGCAGAATTGCACCGTCAACACCACAACACTCTCTCTCCTGCACAATGTGATGCATTGTTCAGAGTTAATTGTAATGGGTTTTTTTTTTTCTGCTGTGGACTGTCATGGGAAATGGTTTTCGAAATTAGAGTAGTGTCAAGTAGTATATCATTTTAAAACTGCTTTCAATCTATATGTCTTACTGATACAATCTGTAACATTAGGTTTTCAGCTCTTAGACAGCAAGTACATCATTACAATAGTCATGATGGAGTAAATCGCACATTTTATTAGAGCACTGCGCTGTCGTTGCCTTTAAATCCCAATACGTACCGCAATCGTTCATTTGCGTAATTAACAGCGCACAAAAACAGTCCATGTCATAAACAGACATCTCGAATGATTTGTGGTCTCTCGAAATCCATTCCAGCGCATTGGTACTGCAGTGCTCAGCATGGCTACTGCAATGCTGCTTTTCATCCTGGACATTACCAATCCATAACAGCAGTTACATAAGAACGAACAGAAATAGAATTCTGATAAGTTCTTACGTCTTCCCAGCCACTCCCAGGCGTGTAGGAGATGACATCCAGAAAGGGATTGGCCAGGTAGCCCTCGTTATTGAACGAATAGTCCCGCCCACCAAGAGTGATGTTACTGAAATACCTGAAAAGCATAGAGAACAGAGCAGAAATAGTCTGTTGAGATGGAAGAGACCCAGAAAGAATTAGTATTAAAGACTCGAGAGGACACGTCAAAGAGAAAATCTCACACAGAAAACTTCACAAACATCCTAATTAGGTCAGATTGCAAGAGTGTGTTGAAGGTAACCATTTTATTTCCTTCAGCAATGGAATCAAAGGAAGCAGTCACTCTATTTTGAGCACTTAATCTAAACCAGTAAAATACCCAGAACAGTGCCTAAATGTGACATTCTTTGTGACTGCTTCAAATGAATCTTTTTATCTTAAATCCAATATGCTTTTGGCAAAATGAAGACAGCACACACTTAAATAATTTGACTGGGTGAACAAGTTTAAGGGAGCAAAGTTTTCTCTACTCTGTTCTTATGAACCTTTTGAAAGCCTTTTGTGAATATTCCTCACAAAATTCTGCCAAAGATCTGTGCGATTAATGTGTGCAAAACCATTATGTATAAGCCTATTTAGCAAACCATGATTACAACAGCACTAAACAGGTAAATCTCTTTTCACCATCAATCCTCTTCTGATGTGTAATGAGTCACACTGGTTGTTAAGTTGAGAGTTTCTGCTCAGTGAGTCCATAATTTCTCCTTACTACGTGTAAAACATGTTATGAACGGTGATTAACAAAAAAAAAAAAAATCATTCAGTCTATTCCTCTGCTGTCATCGCTTTAATGAACCTCGCGCTACAAACAGAAAATCCATCTGGTATGATCATCAAATCCAATAATGATCATACCAGACGGATTTTCTGTTTGTTCGGCTCTCTGTTAACAGGTTTGTAAAATCGCCAAAGAAAATATACAGTCTACTCTAGTCTACTTTATTGCACAGTAGGCCTATGTGGATTGTGTTTTAGCCACGATGCTAATCTAATGAACAAATAAAAATCATTGTCTTAGATTGTTTTAGTCAATCAATTCAATGTCTTCGGTACAACTGTCTTCAAATTGCTGATATACTGTAACTAATTAATAGTTGATTCCTGCTGTCATCATTGGCGTTCTCTTACGAGAGGTTCTGCGTGATATCTTAGGCTATGGGAAAACCTCTTTTCCACGAGATATTGAAGCCAAAAATTATCCTTAATTTTTAATTAATGTAAAACGCATTGCTGCAGCATGCAGACGTAGGCAAGACGGCCTGACGGCGTGACTATTGGCTGTCCTGCGGCAAGTGCAGCAGCCTATCGAGAGAGGCCCTTGTTGATGTCAGATCCAATGGGGCCGCTTCGCGTCCCGCCGTAGCTCACGCATCGCTGGATCCGGTGTGAAGAAGCCACGGCGTCTGAGAAAAAGCCTCCTGCGGGACCAAAGAAAACTTTCACTGTCCGAAGTTTTTCTCCAAAAGCAGGGATGCACTAGCCCATGTCTGGTCCGCTGCCCACTCTATACCTTTCCCCTCGTTTCGCTCCTGCCTCAGGTATTGGAACGAATCAGGGAAAACGGATGCTCAGTGCTACTTGTGGCTCCGCTCTGTAAAAAACAGGCTTGGTTCCCAGTTCTGACCGATGAGGAAAGACGTCCTCTCTCAAGCCAAGGGCTCGATTTGGCCTCCTCGCCTGGAGCTGTGGTGCCTACATGGATGGGTCATCAATGGATACCCGCTAACCTCCCGGAGGGAGTGTTAAACACGGTCACGCAGGATAGAGCACTGTCTACTACACGACTTTTCCTCAAAATGGTCTGTGTTTTCTGGCTGGTGCAAAGCTCGAGGATTTTCACACCTAGACTGTGGGGTTACGGAAGTTCTCTCCTTCCTTCAAGAGCTACTGGATAAGGGCAGAAACCCATTCACGCTCAAGGTTTATGTGGCGGCCAAAGCAGCGTTTACTAAACCAGCGACAGGCCAGTCACTGGGGAAGAACGATCTGGTCATCAGCTTCCTTAAGGAAGCTAAGAGGCTGAATCCTCAGTCTCCATGTGGGACCTTTTGACGGTTTTGGATGTATGGAATTTGGGCCAAATGACTCGAAAGTCATACTAAAACCGAGACACGGGTAACGTGCCGAAATCCCTCAACACACTGTTCAGGGCTCAGGCTATTTCCTTGTCTGCCCTGCCGGTTTACAACGAGGAAAAGGACGCAAACTTCCTCTGCCCAGTCAGGGCAGTAAGAGCTTATGTGTCTTGCTCGTCTGTTTTCACACAGACTGAGCAGCTCTTCGTTTCGTTCACCGGACGTTCTAAGGGACTAGCTGCATCAAAACAGAGTCTATCCAGAAGGATAGTTGATGCTATTGCACTGGCCTACAATTCTAAAGGCTTGTAGTGTCCTTTTGGTGTCAGAGTGCACTCCACAAGAAGCGTGGCCTCGGCTTAGCTCCCTTAGGATGCTACTTATTGGGAATGACGCTTCTAGCCTCTTTTCCCAGGTGTCCCTGGTGATTATGCACTATATGAATCCTGGGCACCTGCCCTTGGGGCTTTGGAGTTGGATCCCAGCACGCACAGCTTTTTACATTGTGTTCCCCTAGGTTCCCCTAGAGAACCTCTCGTAAAAAAATGTACTCAGTTACTAACGTAACCTCGGTTCTCTCTAGAAGAGGAACGAGTACTGCGTATCTGTGCCTGCAACAAGCTCTGGTTCGCTTCGGCGATGAAAAACCAGATAATATCAGCCCATCGAGCTGTATTTATAGGCCCAGGCCACACCCGTCACGGCGGCAATATCAAGTCACCAAGGGCCTCTCTGGATAGGCTGCTGCAGTTGCCGTAGGACAGGCATGCGAGCCGTCTTTTGCCTACGTCTGCATGCTGCAGCAACGCGTTTTACATTAATTTAAAATTAAAGATAATTTTTGGCTTCAATATCTCGAGGAAAAGAGGTTTTCCCATACCGCAAGATATTACGCAGTACTCATTCCCTCTTCTAGAGAGGTACAGAGTACATTTAATGTAACAGAGTACATTTGTTATGAATAACACGTGGATATAGTTAATTTAAGCTTGGTCTATTTTTGTTTATTTACTACAGGTGCCCTGATTCTTTCAAATACCATTTTAAAGCCATTTACTGGTCAATAAATATTATCTTGTGAATGGATTTAATCAGCTTTGTTCTTTTGTTTCCCCTGGAACAACAACTGCATTTCTAAAATCATCTGAACATTTCAGAGGCAACATTGAATTACAGTAAGTTACCAGCACCACATGCAAGTACTTTATTACTATGAACTTTTCTGTGTGAAATTGTATTGTTTGACTGTGTACTTGTGTTTTTTAATCAGTTATTCTCTGAGAATCTTCCCTCATGTCTCAAATCTCATTCATGTTACTCAGAAAAATTCTATCACAGGTTTGGCGCCAAATAAAGCTATGCATTTTTCTTTTACTGCACCTTAACCATCTATCTTGTTTATAGTGAGAATATTCTCACAAGAAACAACTATTTATGAGCACTGTTGATTCAAGTCACACACTTAAGCTTTTCAAAAGCCATAGTGTACAGTACATTACAGTCTCCAGTCTCACCGCATTTCCAGTCTCAATATTTTTCGACTCAAAATAGCTGAATAACTAACTATCTGAGATTTCAGTACAGAGATAAAAGTTTTCAGGAATATTTCAGCACAATATATATTAGCACCATTTGTTGTTTGTTTATGGCATCTAAAAGAGCTTTTGGATTTGGAAACAGCGACATCAGACTTAACCAGCTTAAATTAAATGGAACATATGTGTTTCCATGCATTTTGTTGAGATGTCATTTCTTATATACCCATTGTATATACTGTACATTGTTAATCATTCATATTGCTTATGTATTATACTATTTGTTTGTGTATTCTATTCATTGATATTAATCTATTACTAGTTTCTTGTCCCAAGTGCATTGAAGTATATGTATAAAAAAGAGATCTAAAATATGTAATAAACAATTCTTATTTTGTATTGGGTTCAGTTTGTTTATTATAATAATGATAACCATAGTAACAACATGAAATAATAATACATAAATAAAAATTGGTTCCTGGAGGCACCCAAAGCGGTTCCACACAGTGCCTAATATTAGAGTTCCTCAGGAAACCTGAGTGGTTGCTCAGAGAACTGCCTCTTTTTAAAGGGTTCCTAGAGGATCTACAGATGGTTTGCCGGTGTGGCAAAGTGAAGAACCCCAAAAGGTTCCTCCAGTCAGCTTTTCTTTTTACGGTGTATAATGCAGTAAATGGTTGTATTATTTTGCCCTGTGAGTTTATGATTATGATATATGTTAAAATAATATGATAACAAGTACCAGTCTGCAATATAAAGATCAAGACTGTTTTTGTACATCTAAAACAACTGGAAGCAGCTGATGCATCCTTGCACATTCAAGTCAAAAACAGACCCATTCGCTCTTACGTGAGATGAGTAACGTTCCCATTATAATAAATCAAACTGGCACATGCTTGTTAATTATAATGGCACTATTCTAGTTTTGTTGTGTTGCTTGCTTTTAGGGTAGAGACAGCGTCAAACAGCTGCAATTGTTTATCCGCTCCCACCCACTTTGTTGTCTTAAACATAGGGGCATGTTAAACGCCTCTCCTACAGTCCCCGTGGTGGGGGAGTAAAGGACATCCATGCCCCAAAGGTGCAGCACTTTCACTCTCATTAGAGTGTGTCATTAAGGATAAACTGACTTACTATAAATGCAAAAAGCATATATATATGAAGAGTTCAGATGCAAAAGCCTCTAAATGCCATTTGAAATTTGATGATTTTTATCAAACTTGTATATTTAAGTTCAGTAATTTCACTTAAATAACAATTAAAAGGTAATTATCATTGCCATTTAAGTGAAATTACTGAACTTAAATATACAAGTTTGATAAAAATGATCACTTTAGAAGAAAATTTCAAATGGCATTTAGAGGCTTTTGCATCTGAACTCTTCATATATACAGTATATATATATATATATATATATATATATATATATATATATATATATATATATATATGCATGCTGTTGTCCCAAATCCCGGAACCGGCCTTAATTGTCCCGGAAATTTTGATATAAAACATTAAAAACTGTCTGATAAAAAAACTGAGTCGTCCAGCAGCCTGTTCCTTCAAGTTGCAGCAGTAAATGTGCAAGCAGCCAGTCTAAACTTTTGTCAAATCTTGACGCGCGAATGGATTCAAAGTGTTCAAGCGTATAACTAGGTAGGCACGCGGTAGGCACGAATTTGACGCGCTATTCGTGTCTGGTGTGAACGCAGCATTAAAGGAGTGATTGATTGCTCACGTCACTGTGTGCAAAAAATTACTTCGGCCGGGCCTTAATGTCTGATGTCGTGTTACACTTTTTTTTAGTTTTCCTATTTAATGACCAACGATTTAGTAGTAATAATAATTTTGGCATAAGTCTTATTAGCATTAGCATTAGGTCTGATTTAGCCTGTACACTGTTACAACTGTAAAACATTATTTTATTTTTTTCACAATGACATTTGAGGTCATGATTTTAATGTTTTTTTTTTTTTTATTCAGACTAAAGATATTCAGACTATATATATATATATATATATATATATATATTGCAACAAAGATGAAAGTTAATGCCAAACAAAATGAGCTTTAAACACAGTTCTCAGGGTGAACATAAATTGAGGGCTTTTAAAAGATTTTCAAGATCACACAGCATAATAACACCATAAACTACACTGAAAGCACCATTTATTTGCATGTGCTGGTTTAGCACTTGATTCACTAAATGAATTACACAGGCAATATCATGCACACACGTTCACAAAGGCAGCTTTATTAGCGCTGCATTACCATGGGCAAAAATGGTTTAACTCTTTAATGAATTTGCTCCTACAGGAGTGTCTAAATTAAATACTTATATGGTTGATTCTTTGGCTACTCCATATATAACAAAATTAAAATTCTCTTTCTAAATAAATGTCACTGCTTATACTGTCCACAGATCATCAAAAAAGAAGTTTGTTTAACAATCATGATAAAAAAAAAAAGAACTTTTTCATTATTTTTTACCATGAAAATGACACATTATATATGCACTACTATACAAAAGTTTGGTTACTGTATGTTCACCAAGGCTGCATTTATTTTAACAAAAAACAGTAATAATGTGAAATATTACTACAATTTAAAATAAGTTTTCCATTTATAAATATTTTAAACAGTTATGTATTCCTGTAATAGCAAATAATTAGTATTCAGTGTCACATGATCCTTCAGAAATCATTCTAATAAACTGATCTACTGCTCAAGAATCTTTTCTTCTTATTATCAATTTAGAGAAGAGTTGTGCTTCTTAATATTTTTGCGGAAACCGTAATACATATTTTTCAGGATTCTTTGATGAATAGAAAATTCTAAAAAAAAGCATTTATTTGAAATAGATTTTTTTTTGTAAAAGTTTTTACTGTCAGTTTTGTTCAAGATAATGCATCACTGCTGAACAAAAGTATCAATCTCTTTATTTACTGATCTCAAACTTTTGAACAGGAGTAAGTTCATTCTAAAACTATTTTACAGCCTTTCTTCACTGCTCAATGAAATCTCATTTGATTAAAAATCAAATCCCACCCTACATCATGTCCAACTGAATATTAATTTTCACTTAATACAACACATTACATTAGTTAAACGTTTTGCAAATACATTTTCATGTTCATGGTCACTATAACACAGTGTCGTGCTTGGTGTGAGACAGGTTGTATCTTTCTGTGCAAAACGTACAAGTCAAGTCGTGCATCGATGGAAAGAACTATCTCTTACTTCATTCTACCGCGAATCCTCTGTGTTCTGTTGCCATCCGTCTGGCAGTTAGTGACAAAGTGTGGACCTCCAGTGGCTCCATAGTCCTTGCGCAACGCAACAGCTCCGTGGGTAAGGATGGACACCCCACGGGCGATACGTCTGCGGGGCTCGTCCCTCCAACCCTGCGGTCTGACTGCAAAAAGGCGATTGGGTAGTCCGGTCAGGCCCAGCTCGGACAGAGCTGGACCCACCGCAAACCATATGTGGGAGGCACTGGCCTGACCAGCTGCCCAAGCAGCTTGGAACACCTGTTCTGCTTCCTCCTGAGAGCAGTACAACAACCGCACCTACAGTAGGAGTGGGGGCAAAGAGGACAGAGGGGACCAAGATGAAAACCAGAGAGCAGGAGCAAGAGAGAAAACAAAAGCGAGTGCAAACAAGAACACAGAGGTCAAATGGGAGGAACAGACCATGAGCAGAATGAGAAGAGGAAATGGAAGACAGGACAGGAGAGGAATTGGGATTATACATTTCAGTGTAAAATCACTAAGAACTGATCGTGAAAATGTCACGTCTTTGCGATGTACTTGGGAGAGACTCTTTCAGTGCTTGAAAAACGTATTTCTTAAAAAACAATATTTAATTACATTTTACTGTTAAATTCTTATAATGAGAGTGTTTCCATTTACACGAGAGCGTCCTAATATCAAAAGAGCGATTTAAATGTCGCCGTCATCATTAAATTTCAGATACTTCAAAGAGCACATGCAGATCAAACTGAACACAACAGAAAGGGAATACAATCACTTGGATCAGTGAATTTGGATTGAAATTTGAAATCCTATACGCACTGCAATTAATGACATATGAACAGTAACTTTAATGGGATTACTGAAATATAAAGGGTTCATTACAGGAACTAATAAACTGATTACAGTAGACTGATGTACTACAGTATGTAGTACCATGTTCATAGGGCAGGATGTGTTTGTTTCCTGCAATCACAAGTCCTACCTCTTAACAGTAAACTTTGCTAAATGCCTTTTAAAAAAGACAGAATGTAATAGACAGAAATGTAATTATTTTACAGGAGGTAATGGTGCTGGGACATTCCTTAACAAAGATAGACAGATACTGGATGGAAAGAGAAGGAGAGAAAGAAAAGGGGAAGGTGATACTAGCACAATCTGGGAAAGAGAAAGAAAGGAAGAAAAGAACAGAAACTGAGCGAGGGGCTAAATATTTCACCTTTACAATACATGAGAGAGAAAAAAACCCAAGAGAGACTGTAAAAAGAAGAAGAAAAGGTCAGTAGCGAACTAGGAAAAGAAATAGAGAATGAGAGGAAAAAAAGAATTCAACCTGTGTAGATTAAGTGTTATTATGTTCTTATTCTGTGTGCGTGTTTATGCCGAGTATGCAGTATATCCTGTCCGTGTCTAGGTGTGTGGTACTTTGAAAATCACGGTATGAGTGATATCATGTTCATGATAATGTATACATCACATTATAAAATGGATTGGTCAACACAGCATTCCAGCCATGCTAAAATCCACATTTTAAAATCACGCAGCAGGTAAGGTGAAGTATTATAATAGCTCTCACTACTGACTGACTGAAGCAATTACGGTATACCACAATCATACTACTTACTGTATTCTACTATGTAACTTTCTGTTTTCTTTTTTTCTTTATATATGTGTGCAATATTTATTTCGATGTGTGTGTGTGTGTGTGTGTGTGTAATTGAGCAGAAGCACTGCAGACTGAATCTAATGCATACGGCATTAGGTTGCACCGCCACAGGCTCTGTGTTATATTAACACTGACATCAGTGTACTGGGACCCACAAGGCACAATAACACCCACTAACACACACATACACAGAACAATAACAGCCTGGAGCCAGGGGGAGACAGAGGACAACCTGTGACACACATACACACACATACACATTACACAAATATAGGTAGAGATGGGAAAGAGAACGAGAAAGAGAGGAGAATGGAAAAAAGGACAGTGAGAGGTCACAGAAAGATGGTGGAGTAAACCGCCAAAAGAAAACAAATGGTTAAGGACAGGAAGTGATGTCAGGTGGAGGGAGGAAGAATAAGTGAATGATTAAATGAGTAAGCGAATAAGTGAGACATAAATGCAATGACCTTCCCTCTCTACCTGTGCTTCGTTCTCTTTCAAGAGCCGTCGTGCTCGCGCTCCTCCTGGGTCATCGGTTAAATTCAACATTACTACGCTCTTCTTCTCCCAGCCGATGAATGACCCGTCAGTCAAACCTTCCACTATTGACAGGAAGTCCTGGTAGCCATGGTGACGTGTGGACACCACTGAGAAGGCCGTCCAATCGTACTCCTCCAGCACCTCAAAGATCACCTCCAATTGGAGTGCGGTGGAAGAGCTGAACTGTAGGAAGATTGAGCCGGTCTCCTGCAGAGCAATTAAGAAGGTAAACGACTACATTTCCCAAGGCCAAAGACCGTCGATTCATTCATTCCTTGCATGAGGCATCATGGGAACTACATTTCTAATGTGATATTCTCTAATCGTGACATGAGACAGAGCTAGTGCTCTGCAGTGCAATTAAGGGGAAAAAATAACTACATTTCCTGTGATTGAAGACTATTTATTGCCGCCATAAAGCATCATAGGAATTCAATTTCTTATAAAGAGTTTCTGAGATATGCAGCCGCTGTAGAAACAGGAGGGAGGTACTTCAGTGACTCCAATCGTCACCGGAGTACGTCGCACAGACTCAAATTTAATTTGCAATGCAATGGAGTGTGCGTGTAGGTCCTGGAGAGTGTAGGATTCAATGCAACATCATCAAAAGGATTTAATATCATGTCTCCAGGGTTGTTAATAATTATAATAAAACATTTGTACATTTAAAAAGAAAAATCCTTGTTGTTTTCACACTGTGCTAAAGAGAACAACTGAAATTGCGAAACCCAGACCGTAGCACTTCAGTGAACACAAGAGAGAGAAAAAAGAGCAGACCATATGGCCTGCAGTGGTAATGCACGACCTTTGGCCTTGCTATTTATCCAAATGGATGTTAGTAATGCCATCCCTTCCTACAGTTATTGGTGTACCCCGATCAGGCCCCGACAGAGACGAGGCAGCCCTATCTCTGTCCGTTTAACAACACTCCTCAGGCGGTACCATTAACAAACAATGCCCTTATAGCACTGCAGCAAGCCAAACACTATCTAGCAAGTGTTAGAGCTCATTAACACCAAGAGCTTGCAGAGAGATGTTTGTGAGGAATTTCCACAGTCCAAAGAAACCCCAATATTGTTTTTTTCTTTTAAAAGTAAAGCGATGTCAAATAATTCAGCGCTGTTAAAGTGCATCTGACACTGTTCAGACTGGCCTGTTCTGATAAATCCTCATTGGCCCAGTTTTATTTTGCTATGAAATGGCATGGAGTCTATGTTAATGTACAGTTAATCAGGACAAAACTCTATTCATTTCAAGACAGCTATACTTCAAAATTAAAATCAATCGTACTGGCTGAGTGCAACTGCTTTTAATAGGCATTTGACTTAGCATTTGCTTACATAGCAGGGTTACAATAAATACTTCAAAAAGTTTAAGTCTGTAGACTTTGCTTCTGTATTTAAAATAATTAATTGAGTAAGCAGCAGTCTATCTTGAAAGATTTGCTGTGAAATCCAAGGTTGATCAATGAAATGTGCACAGAGGTTAAGTGAAATTAATTTAACTCAGTGTATGGAATCAATGTAAATAAGAACTAGTTGTTTTCTAACCTTAATGCACTTACAGTAATTGAGTGAAATCAAACTTTTTAAACAAACGGTGGGTCACACTGGTGAAATTTCGCAGGCAAAAAAAAAGGAAGGTTTAGTGTAGCAATACATGAGGCACTGCTCACATTCAAACCAAGCAGCTGTTTGTTGGTCAGCGCAGTGAATTCGCATGACCAACTTGAACATGGGTGAAATCTGCTTGGGGAACTCCTAATTGTGTGGATTCTTATTGAAATTACAGGATTTAATCTGCGAAATTTCGGTAAATGTGACCGCATCTTAATTCTGTAAACAGCCATACCTGTGGTACCCTGCCCAGACCCGCTCCCCCTCCCACAGCAACGATGGGGAGGCCGGTCTGGGCTGAAACGAACTCCAGCATGGGGGCCAGGGGGCCGGAGGCCAGCGGAAGGGGTCTCTCATCTTCATACACTAGTCCCTGAAGGGGTCTGGCTGCCAGCAGGTCACACAGCTGAGAGAGTAACGTCCTGGGACTGCTGTCATTAACCTGTAGTCAATTCACATTCACTTCACATTCATGTTCACATTCACACCACATTAACTTCTGTAGTTTTGAATAAGCACTCCTGTATAAGTGCCCATTAATATTACTTTACTTTTGTGTTCACACTTCAGTTAACTTGAAGTCCGCCTGTGGTGAAAATCAAGTTTTTAATATTCTTTATACGTCTATGTGTTGTTTTTAATGTGCTTTGAGACAAACCATGTGCAAATTCATAAGTCAAAGTCAAACTCAAAGTCTCAAAACGCAGTTTGAGAACTACCAAACTACCTTGTAACCAATCACGTCAATGTGTTGTTGGGCTTTAGCATGTCATTAACAGCAAACTAGTAGGACGTACCGAGAGATGCTAGGTTATCCCGGAATATATATGTATTTTTTTTTTTTTGTTGAAATTTAAAATTTGGTAGATTTAGCAATATAACAGGAAAATTGACCTATGGCTAAGCTACGCCCTCAAACGCGATGAGCCAATCACAGTGCGCAGCTAACCCAATACACTCGGACATTCTCTGTTTCCACGTCCATTGAAATGCATTGCAGTTAGTCAGTTTTCATTCGATTTTTCTTGTCATTTTGAGTTTAATACAGTACTGTGTGCATGGGGTACATGCAACTCTGACTCTAGGTTCCCAATAGGCTGGGCAACGGTGTGTATTTTTTACCCTTTCCCAGGCCACATCTCAGCCGAGATAAGTGTCTGCTCTGGATTAAGTTATGCGATTAAGTTATGCGGTAGACCACAACACGTGGATAAATTAAATACGGATGTCTATTTGTTCTAAGTTAAGTCAACAACGTATTTGAACATTATCTTTAAAATCCGTAATAACGTAACATTAGGTTAACATTAGAAAACGTTAACGTTAGCTTCTAGCTGCGTTGCACATCATGTTACTTAGCTTCATTAAATAACCGAGATAACGAATGTTAACAATGTTGTGCTAAATGGTTCATGCAAATATTGTATCACCAAACGATGATGGCAACGATATGTGGTTTATTACGTTTTTACACTGTGACCTGTACATTTTTACCTGGGGCTGAAGCTTTTCATCAACCTTAAAATTAAGGTTAACAATAAAATTATTAATATAACCCTTTAATGCATAGTTAAAGCCCTTTAGGTGATTTCGATATGATAGCTGCCATAGCGCCTGTCCCCGAATGTTGACTGTTTGTCCGAGTGAGTGGAGGGGGCGTGGCTTAGCCATAGGTCAATTGTGTATATTACGATGTTATAATGAACTACATGCCTTTCTCCACTGACGTTCCGAGTTGTTCAAAAGGTTTCTGATGATTGTTACTTAGAAGGCAGACTGAGATGGCGAACAGAAACAGTTTGTTTAACATTAATAGCATCATATTAACATAGTCAAGCAAAAGGCCAATAATATTAATTACCATTATGTGTCCGACATTGTAAAGAGCGATACAACTGTGCAGCGTTTACCTCAGTAAGATGGCCGAGTTAATCTCTGAGTGAGTGGAGGAGGAGCTATTAGCATTTTCATGGTTCTGCGTATACTAAGCAAAGCAAGGGTGTAGACAGTTGCATTCAAGTTATTTTAAGGCACGAAGAATTTTTTTTAAGGAAAAAAAACTTTTAAGCTTGTCATTTCAGTGATCAAAGATGAGTTTAAAGGGATAATATTATTGAGTACAGGGGGACTTTAAATTAACACAGTGTTCAGGTATTCTATGTTACTCTATATGTAAAATCACAATCTGTCTCCACTCTGAAAGCAATCAATTCCAGTTGCATGACCTCTTTTAGACTGACCTGAAGCCAGATTACGTTTGCGGATCCCCACTGGGTGACGACGCTCTCACCAAAGCTGCTGTGAACACGTCCGAAACCTGGGTACGGCACCCGACCCGCAGCTGCTGCAGCCCCTGCTTCCCCTTGTTGAACGGTTGAGCCGGCGTGGATCACTGCGATGTTGAAGTGCATTGATGCTACCGGGTCCCGTTCACGCTCTCGGGGCCGGAGCAAGAGATGAGGGGAGGAGCTAGTCTGACCCGCCCATTCTACCAGGGCCAATAGCAGAGACAGCGTGGGTACTGTGACCATGGCAACAAACATGGAGGCCAAACGAGAGGGCACAAAGAAAGCCTGAGTGAAACCAGGAAGGGAAAAGCAAGAGAGAAACTGCAATTAAAATAAAATCATAAATTCGATATATTGCATACAATAAAAAAAAAAAAATTGAGAGATACAAAGTGTAAAGATTAGAATGAGAGAAAGAATGTGAAACAGGACAAGAAGTATACTAAGAAAGAAAGAGAACAGAAAAAAGAAGGGAAGAAAAGGAAATTGGCTTTATTCAGGCCACAGGCTGAAATGGAGCAACACGGGAGAAAAACAAACACAGAGAGAGGGTAACTGATAGAGGGATAGAGAGAAACTGTATGCGATTCTGTGCATGCACAGATAAAGCTGTTGTAATGAAGGCCTAAATGTCCTAGTGAGCATCTGAAGTGGACTTAACTATTTGGAGGGCTCAACAATCAGCCAAATCATGTTTTACTTTAAAGACGCCCACAAATGTATATTCTGACATCATTTAGTCATCCACGTGCAAACCCGCAAGACTTTCGTTTTATCTTTGAAACACAAAAGAAGATATTTTTATTAAAACAGCTATACAACTACCACTTCAAAAAGTTCATAAAGAGATAACTAATACATATGAATTGAGCGGTTAAGTCCAGATTTTCTGAAGAGACACGATCGCTTTACATGACGGACAGAATGAATTTAGGATTTTATTCAATCATATCTTATTAAAAAATATATTCATTTGTGTTCCGGAGAGGAACAAAAGCCTTATGGGTCTGGAACGACATGAGGGTAGATAAATGACGTGTGAACAAACCCTTTAAATGTAATAATGTCAATAAGCTTGTGCAAGGGTTTTGCCTATATTAAATAGGTCAGTGGCTAAAAAAAAAGTTTTTTAAATCTTCTTTAAAACTCATGCGCATGTATTCTGGATTCATGTTAGTTTGAACTTTTTTACAAATGTGTAATACATGATTTGAGTGTACACATCCTAGGCATTATTTTTAATGATTTCAAAAAAGGTTTTAAAATATATAGGGTAAACCGATTTAACAATTCGTAACCATTTTATATTTGTGAATATGTATGAATTTTCACAATCACATGTATATGTTTTTGAGCAATCTGCTTTTGCCCTTCTGAAGGTTAGTGCTCTCTGTCATGAGTAGCAGGAAAGAAACACATGAGGCATGAGTAACAAACATCACCAACCTTGTTTACTCTTCACTTACGTTCTCAAACATTACGCCACTACACAACACTTCCTTACAACATTCTTTTAAAATAATAGTCCCAACACAATTCTACCCATGCACGATTACCACAGTTAGATTTAGGGGTGGAGTTTTTTCTAAAAATCATGTACTCAGACTTCTAAAAACTTCTAAAAATCCTATCATACTCAGATCATTACAAATCACACTTTAGGACATGGATCTATTATTATATTTGGGAAATTTAAGCAGAGAAGCAGTTTTTTTTCTCCAAAAAAATAAAGATTATGCCAAACTAATTTAGAAACAAAATCATCACCTAATATAGCTTCTAACGTTTGTGTGTGCACTAATAAAACAGTCAAGGAATGAATGGAGGTTACTTAGGTGAATAAATAAAAACAAACAATAAAATATAAACACCCACATAACACTTCATACCCACACTCACATCAACATCACTGAACACACGCACACCATAAAATGATTTAGAGAGTTAGAGGTTAGTGCATTTGATATGTAAGAAAGTACCTCCACACACTCAGCCCCACACACAAACAAGCAAATAATTTTCAATTTACTTTTGTGGCAGCCTCCTCCTGCCTGCTCCTCTCTGTTTCATGACTTCAGGTGCTAATGCAATTGCTCGGAATCACCAGGCTCTGACATAATATTCCCTCTCTCCCAAATCTGTCACCACTCTCTGGGTTTGTTCTCTTTTTGTTGTATTCTCTTTCTCCCTCTGTTATATTTATCTGTCTCTAAGTCTGTTGGTCTGTTGACCCTGACAAGTCCTTCAGATGAACGAGAGAAAGAATTAAGAAGCCAAAGTCGAAGGAAAAATGAAAAGAATATGGGACGGATGGAGACAGAGAGAGAGAGCGAGGGAGACAGGCAGACATTGGAATTTTGTTTGGCTGAAAGAGGTAAATATAGTCCTAATGACTAAGATGTGGACAGAGATGGGGAGGAGGGGGAAATGGAAGCAGTGGAGAAAAAAGAACGAGGGATGAAATATGGAGGAATAGAGGAAAGGAGAGAAATATTGATTACTGGGGTATGTGTACGTGTTTGGCCTGACCAAACACACTTGCAATCCTCCAGTTTTGACAGACAAGGGGTAGTGTGTGTGTGTGTGTGTGTGTGTCGCTCTCTGTGTGTGCTTTGGTTGGGGTTGGAACGAACGAAAGAGCACATGACCACATTTCACAACAGCATTTTACTGTTTTTGAGTCACTTCAAATTAACCTGGTGTAATCATAGCCTGGGCTTGTCATTTGGGGTCCCACTGTGCTACTGTTGTGCAAAAGCAGCAATTTACGGCACCTTTACACTTTGCATTATACAGTAGGAGACGTGGGAAGTACACATGCAGTCCTGAATTCATCAAAGAGAGCCAAAAACACTCAACGATATATCATCCACAAAGGAAGGGACATGTGCTTTGCTGTTGCTTACAGACCCCCGGGCGATTTTAAAATACTACAGAGTACATTACTATAACGGCGCCATATAAATTTGCATAAATCTCTTGTGTCCCTGACTGGTTTATTAAATATGCTGTGAACACTGTGCTTTAAAAGACATGTTCACTTCAGTTATTTACAGTTTATGAACATACAGCACAAAATGTATGTTTACACAATTATTAGATTTATAAGACACAAGGTCAATTTATTTCCCTTACAAAGAACTTGAGCAGTTTATGGCTATTATATCATTACATTTACGCATATAACATATAAATATACATTGGCCATATTTCCAATTATAAAAGGTCTATTTAGCCAAGCCTGAATTAAAAAATCTTGACATTTGCTCTAGCTCTGCTTACCATGTTCACGAGAGGAACAGCAATGTTTGATTCATGAAAAAAATCTCTATTTTAAGGCATATCTTTTCAATTAACCGTTGATCCAGTTGACAAAAAGCGGTCTCTGATCTGAGTGATTTATTCAGAAAACTTACAGATTTGTTTCCCTAGTTCAATTCGCTGGAACAATGAACCCACTGCAGCAGTTCAATGGAGAAGCTCACTTAAGGGGAAGATTATCAGTGAATAACACCACATGGCTAATATTTACAGGGTTTAAATTGGGCTGAGGCCGTCCGGCACATAGGCTTAAACTGGTAACTCATCAGTGGACTTTGACCTTTCCAAAGTTTCCATTTTAAAAAAACATTTTTTGACACCTTTCTTGTTCTTACTAATTCAAGCAATGATTCAAAGCGCTGCCTTTTAAGCATTAAATAATGGACAAACAGCGCACAAGTGAATTACAGTAGAGTGAGCACAGTGACAAAGTTTGCACGTAAATTTGATTGTCCACAAAAATCATCACGTTGTGAGAAGTAACAGACCCGACAGCAGACCTGACCACAAACGTGAGTTCTGTTCTGCATGTACACGCAGATCTGAACATATGTGATGCGCGTGCTTAAATCTTCACAGCAAGAGTCTGAGTTGACAACTTATGTGTCCAAACTTATGTGTTAACAAATGCTTTAAAACTCCTATTTGGTTTGGCTGCTTGTATTGCGTTAAAGGGATATGTTTTCTTGTTGTGTTCATGTCTAAATAGCTGTAAGATTCTTTGTGCAATATAGAGCAGTACAGTATAGTTTTATATAGGCCGACTGTAATTAGTGTAGAAATATGCCAAAGGCTTACAGATCATTAAATGTTTATTAAACTTTTATAGACCCCCAAAAAGTTTTCAAATTGCCAGACATGATTAATTATATTGGTGTCCATTTAAAATGAAGATACAATTTTATTTGCCTTTTGAAGAAAATACATATTTTACATTTAAGATTTCTATTTAAACCCTTATATTGCAGTATGAATTTAAAAAGAAACACAGACAGCACATTTTCATACAACCACATGCAGCACAAAATTATTCCAATGTATTTTTTTTTTCTGTCTTGAATAATATGACAGTTTGTTCATTGTGCTATTTCTGCATTCCAGTATTATAATTTCTACAAAATATTACATGATTTATTTATTACAGTGTACTTGGTCATGGGCAGTTGACACCACAGAGCATCGCTTCGCTTCAGAAGGCCTTACGGATTACTTTTATGATGGATGATGAATGTGCTTTTTTGGGGTTCAAAATCTATTTAGCAGAGGTGGAAAGTAACTAATTACAAATAGTTTCGTTATAATACTTGAGTACATTTTATATTTTTTTCAATATAATTAAATTATAGTACTTCTATTTTTACTGTAACTTGAGTTGAATAAAAATAAAGTATATTACTTTGCTACATTTATTTTTCACCAAAAGTAAGTACTTTGAAAAGGGTGTTGAGGTGCGGAGCAACAGGGAGGACTGGCACTTTTAACACTGCGGTGGAGCCCCTGCGCTTCAACCAATAATAGACAGGTCTGACTCAGGAGCAAAACCAATCAAGACTTCCAGTTCAACTGAGCTGGGGGAAGAGGCATTTAAACCACTTTTTGACAGTCAATCACTGGCGCTCGCATTTTGAATCAGTATTGTATCCACCTTATATTTTAAGTAAGCGTGCATGGGCGCTGCCATTTTTTAAATATAATGTGTAAGATTTCCGGTATGTCGCCACTAAATCGTAGTTGTATTGTAATGCGAGCCCGTAGTTTTGCGACGACTGTGTAGTTTTGACTGGCTTGTTCAACTTTTAGTATGGACTACAGACAGACTGGCGTCCTTTGTGAAGTTATTGGGTGCCATAATAGAGTGGTTCAAGCTTAAAAAATGCCTACAAGATATTTGTTTTGACCATAACTCGCGCATCAAAACTGAATGTGGATGTGGGGCACCCTATGATTTGCACGCTGCAAGAAGC